TGAGTCTTGAAGAAAGATAAAGACTCCATAAGAGGTCATTAAAGAGATGGTTAGTAAGTGTACTGGAAAAGAAGTGGTGATTTCTGAGAGCCAGGCTATGATCATCAAGAATAGTTTATGGTGCTAAGTGTGGTGATTCATACTTATGTTCTGTACTACTGGGAAGGTTGAGGCTGGTGGGTCCTTGGAGCTTGGGAATTCTGAGCTGCAGTAGGGTTAAAGCCAATAGGGTGTTTATACTAAGTTCTATACCAACATAGTGAGCCCATTGGAGTAGGCAGCCACCAGGTTGCCCGAATGAGTGAACTAGCCTAGATCACAGAACAGATCAAACAGTGCTTCTGGGCTGATCAGCAGTGGGACAGGCCTGTGAATGACTGTTCCACCTCCAGCCTGGGTGACATAGGGAGACCAAGGGTTATGGTACTTTGTATAGTAGCAACAAAGTAGATAGATGCCTACCAGTTGGGTGACGGACAAATAAGTTGTGGTACAAGACTGTAAGGGAATACGACAGCTCTGAAAAAATATTGAATATGAAAAATACAGAAAAGTATAGAAAGACTTGTGAAGTTTTACAAAGTGAATCAGGTCAGAACCAGGAAAACAATATATGCAAATGACAACAGAGTCAATGGAAAGAATAATGACAGAAAACTGAAATGGAATTTTTTGGTTGTAATGACCAAGACTGGCTTCCAGAAAGATATATGAGAATCTACTTCTCTTCCTTTTTGTTAGAAGTGTGGGAATACTGTATTTAATTGTAATCTTGATTGACGTGTTGATTAGTTTGCTGAGCAGGGGCTTTTCCCCTTTGTTAGAAGAGATGGCCTTTTTAGAATTGGAGGGGAAAGGAAAATATTGGGAAATACAAGTGATATAAAAATAAAAGATGCCAATACAAAGATAAGTTTTAAAAATAGGTCATACCAGAATTACTTTATTTCTTTTGTTAATAGTGTTACTAAACTGATAGATCAGGTGAATGCTGTGTATTTGGTTTACCTAGATTTTATCAAAATATCTCATACAGTTCTTGTGGAAAATATGGAGAGATATAGTCTAGGTAACATGGATATTTGAATTTGGAAGTGGTTGGAAGGTTATTAGATGCTAGAGTAGTTGTTAATGTTGAATGTCAGTAGTCAGGAGGTCTCCAGTGTTGTGCCCCAGGAATATGTGCTTGTTGTGTTTTATATATATATATTAGCAGTAACCTGGATAACTGTTAAGCTGTCATATTTATTACATTTTCAGATGACGCAAAACTGGGAGAAATAGCTAACACTGAATGACATTACCAGGATCCAAAAAGATCTTAACATGCTTAGAGCAGGGACTGACAAACTCTCCATAGGCCAAATCCTGACTGCTACCTGTTTTTGTAAGGAAAGCCCTAAACTAAGAGTAGTTTTTTTTTTTAAATTTTAAATGAAGTTTTATTGTATTTTAAAATGTAAACACCATTAGGCAAGTGCATTGGTTTGAATGTGATAATGTGAATTTCAGTAGGGATAAATGCAAGAGCTTAATACTTGGACTTAAAAAAAAAAACCCAGTTTCACAAACTCATGATGGGGAAGACATAATTAGATAGAAGTTTGAAAAAGATCTGGGGTTTGGTGGACTGCAAGCTCAATATGTGAGTCACCAGTGTGATGTGGTAGTCAGAAAAGCTCATGTGATCTTGAAGTGCATTTAGAGAGACAGCTTTCAGAAATAAGGGAGTCATAGTCCATCTGTGGTGAGGGAGCAGCTAGGTGGTACAGTGGAAAGAGCACCAGGCCTGGAGTCAGGAAGACCTGAGTTCAAATCCAGCTTCAGACACTTATTAGCAATGTGACCCTGCCATTTGCCAAATGAGCTGGAGAAGGAAATGGCAAACCAGTCAAATATCTTTGCCAAGAAAACCTCAAATGGGGTCACAAAGAGTCAGACAGCTGAAATGACTGAACAACAACAATCTCTCTATGGTCTGTCCCAATTAGACCATATATAGAGTATTCTGTTCAGTTCTGGGTGGACACTGATAAGTCAGAGACTATTCAGAAGTGATCACCTACTATGGTGAAGAGCTTTGAGTTCATGACATTAGGATTTGTTGAAGAAATTGGGAATGAAGACCCAGAGCAATCATGGTAGCTATTCACAAGTATTTGAATGACGTTTATCTGGAAGAGGCTTGATTAGATTTTTGTTTCTACCCAGAGTGCAGAAGTAGGAGTAATGGGTAGAAGAGGTAAAATTATTTCCTCACAGTAAAAGCTGTTCAGAAGTAGAAAGGGCTGCTTTGGAAGGTGGTGATTTCCTGTTTTTTTGAGGTTTTTAAGCAGAAACTGGATGACCACTTATCAGGTAATTATAGTCAGAATTTCTTTGGGGTTTGAGTTGAGTTAGATTAGATTATATGGCTACTGAGATCTCTTCCAACTCTGAAATTGTATGATTCTGTTCAGTTGGACTGGCTTTGTAGCTTTCTAATGAATTGGAACCCAGAAGTTGCTAAAGTAGAAATGCTTCAGGTCCTCCTGGAATGTCAAGGAATTTCAGGATAATTGCACTCATTTCACATACCAGCAAGGTTATGCTTAGATTCTGCAAGCTTGGCTTAAGCAGTATGTGAATTGAGAATTACCAGAAGAGCAGGCTGGTTTTCAAAGAGGCAGAGAAACTAGAGACCAAATTGCCAACATGTGTAGGATTATGGAGAAAGCAAGGGAGTTCCAGAAAAACATCTGCTTCTGTTTCATTGATTACACTAAAGCCTTTGACAGCATGGACCACAACAAAATGTGGCAAGTCCACAAAGAGATGGGAGTACGGATCATCTTACTCGTTTCCTGAGGAACCTGTTTGTGGGCTGAGAAACAACAGTTAGAACCAAACATGGAATGGCTGATTGGTTTAAGATCGGAAAAGGAGTAGGACAAGGCTATGTACTGTCCCCTTATTTATTTAACTTATATGCAGAGTACATCATATGAAATGCCAAGGTGGGTGAATCAAAAGCCAGAATTAAAGTTGCTGGGACAAATAGCAATCTCAGATATGCATGTGATACCACCCTGATGGCAATAAGTGACAAGGAATTTAGAAACCTCTTGATGATTGTGAAAGAGGAGAGTATAAAAACTGTCTAGAAGCTTAAAAAAAAACGAACAAGATCTTGGCAACTGGTCCCATCATTTCCTGGCAAATAGAGGGATAAGAAATGGAAGCAGTGTCACATTTTATATTCTTGGGCTCAAAGATAACTTCAGATGGCAACTGTAGCCATGAAATTAAAAAATGTTTGCTCCCTGGAAGGAACGCTATGGCAAATCTGGACAGCATCCTAAAAAGCAGAGCCATCACCTTGTTGATAGAGGTCTATGATCAAAACTGTTTTTTTTTTCAGTAGTAATGCATGGCTGTGAGACTGTAAGGAAAGCTGAGTTCCACAGAATTGGCAGTTTTGAATTGTGGTCCTGGAAGAATATTTTTGAGAGTCCTTCGACTGCAAGGAGATCAAATCAGTCAGTGCTTAAAGAAATTAATTCCAGCTCTTCACTAGAAGGTCAAATACTGAAGCTGAAGCTTAAATACTTTAGCCTCATAATAAGAAGACAAGACTCACTGGAAAAGACTGATTGAAGGCAAAAGGAAAAGACGATGATAGAAGATGAGATGGATAGATATTGTCATGGAAACAGTGAACATTAAGGACAGACTTTGAGAGATAGTGGAGGATAGAACGGCCTGGTGTGCTATGGTCCACTAAGAGTTGAACGTGACAGAACAACAACTCCTCCCCCCATTCTGGGATTCCTGGAACCACTCTAAAACCTGCCACACAAGGTTTTGGTAGAAGGGCTATAGAGCATTAGAACTTGTAATGATAGGCTGCTTTTCTTAAATTATTTAAGGAGGGTTCTGGTGAAGTCTTTGGGCCTCTTCCCAGAATAATATGTTTAAACACATAAAATAAAACATGAAGGATTGCAGAGGAACTAATTTTGAAATAAAATTATCAATTAAAAAAAAGTTCATAGATTTTTTTTTTGTGGGGGGTGGGTGGGGAGGAGGCAGTCAGGGTTAAGTAACTTGCCTGGGGTCACACAAATCTGAGGCCAGATTTGAACTCAGGTCTTCCATACTCCAGAGCCAGTGCTCTATCCCCCAACAATGTTTTTCTTTAAATAATTATGGTACAAGGAAAAGGACAGAATTTTAAATGGTTTCTCAAAGCTAAATAGCAAAATAATCTACACGAGGTATAATAAAATGCTTTATAATAAATAATTTGATGTGTCATACCATGATTTAACAAATATTGCTATATTTTGGGAAATAGTATTTAACTTGATGTAAAACTCATTACACAAATTCAAAGAAAGCGATTCTACTCTACAGCACTACATAATATATCTACATTACTTAAGAATATTCTAGTCAGTTAGTATCTCCTAATAATAACGGGAGTCTTTGGGGCAACTAGGTGGCACAGTGGATAGAGCAATGAACCTGGAGTCAGGAGGACCTGAGTCAAATCTGATCTCAGACATTTGACATTTACTAGCTATGTGACCCTGGGCAAGTCGTTTAACCCCATTGCTTAGCCAAAAAAAAAGAAAGAAAAGAAAAACATTGTTTAGCCTTTAGTTGTTGGACATTTATGAACCATTCCAGTATTCTGACTCCTCAGAATTGCCATGTGAGGTAATTCTCTGAGGAGAAGTTCTAGAGTCTGAATCTGTTATTAAGATGTTGGTGATAAAGTGAAGTTTATATTTTGTACTTTAGTTTTTACCTTAAACCTCATTATTGTATTTAGTTGGTTGTTGTGAGTTGGTTATTATATTTATGCAGAAGTATGCATTTCAGTCTTGGCTAGATATTAAAAATCCTCTCTTGTATTCCTTATTGCTAAGAGAATTAACTAGGTGTAGAAAAATCTAGATGTTTCTAAAACTCATGTACTTAGAGCAAAGCAACAAAAATATAATTTTTGTTTCTAGGTCGTATAATATTAACAGGGTCGCAACACAAGCTGTAGAAGATGTTTTAAAGATTGGTAAGTACCACAGCGACTACTTTTTGCCAGTTGTATTTTTAGAAAGAATTTTATTTAATTCCAGTGCTTTTCCTTTTCTAACAGCTAAACAGCAAGCAAATTTGGATCTTCCATTGAATAAGGAATTAGTTGAGAAAGGTTAGTGAAAAATAATGCCAGTCATTAAAACTTCATTAGTTTGGCTGATGTTGGTTCTAAATAATGCTGTACTTAGTAGCCAGGAATGTCAGCACTATGACATGTACTGGTCACTTGAGTGAAATCATGGATCCTTCAGTGTGTGTACCTTTTTCATTAATGAACATTTCAGTTTTCGCACCCCTTCCCCAATCCCTTTCACCTTGTCCCCTCCCACTACAGCCTTCCCTTCTCCATTGTACACATTGAAAAACAAAACAAAATAAAAAAATAAAGTCCCTCAATACATAGCTGCATAGTCCAGAAAACCAAATTCCTATATTAACGGTGTCTGAAAATATGCCTCTTTCTGTATTTTAAGTTCATGACCATTCTGTCAGGAGGTAAGTGACATGTTTCATATTCATTCTTTTGGACTTGTGGTTTATCATTGTCCTAAAGTCTTTCAAAGTTTTTTTACATAGCAGTTCTCAAACTTTTTGGCCTCAGAACTCCTTTGCACTCTTAAAACTATTAAAGACTGCTCTGGTGCCTCATCTGGTCCATGTCCACATCCTACCTGGCCTGCGGCCTCCTGAGTACCCACCGAAATGTCACCACCCTGGATTAGTGATTTGTGATTTCTGTACAAGAGCCCCATAGAGGGCAACTACAGCAAATAGCCATTGTGCTGAGTGAGGATGAGAATACTAAGTCAAAGAGCCAAAGACAAAATGTTGGAAGAGCTAACCAGCCTAATATGGACCATCTGGAATCCCCTGAAAATTCAGGATGTCACTAAATGTCTTGAGGAATTTGAGTTCCTGGGAAAGGCATTTGGAAAGGCCATGAGTGTTGTGGACAAAGAAGATGTCCCCTAATTATACATCCACATCCTGGCTGATCTGGAGGACTATCTCAGTGTGCTGTGGAAGCACAAGGAGGGAAAGAAGATGAACAAAGAGTAATGCAGAGGCTCTGAGCACCTTGCATCAGAAGATTTGTAAATATAATCAGGATTACAAAGTCCAGATCACCAGTTATAAGCAGAACCCCGAGCAGTCCATAGATGAGGATGCTTAGAAAAATGAGGATTCAGAAAGTTCTTCCCCTTCAGATGATGAGGATGACCTCAGTGTGACAAATTTCCTGAAGAAGTCTGAGGCACCATTCAGAGAAGTCTCACGTTCCTCAAGAAGATGGAGGATGAAGATGACAATTTGGATGATGATGAAGACTGGGGTTCAGATTCCCCTTCCTCTCGGACTCTGCCTCAGGAGGATGATGGAAAAGATACCTTGTTGGTCTCCAAATTCCTTAGAAAAGAGCACCACAGGTAAAAAGGCTGTAGAAAAGAAGTGACAGAACAAAGCCAAGAAAAAGTATGACTCAGACATCCAAGTGCCTAGATGATATAGTCAAGAAGTTGAATGAGCTCTTACAAGAAAGGAACTGGTTTGGGAGCCCAGATTGAGCTGCTGCCACTGATGGTTCAAATCTCAGCGGAAAATAATCTACAGGAAGGAGTGATTAAGATCAAATTCAATATCATTACTTGCCTTACTTGCCTCTATAACTACAACTCTTAATGTGCCCACATACATGAAGCCAGAGATGTGACAGAAGTGCTTAGATTGCATCAGTGACTTGATAGATTTCTTGTTTGCAAATCCTCACATCTTTGTTGTATAGAATACCCTGGGAGAAAATAAGAACCTATCTAACTTTGAGCAGCCATTTTGTGGTTGTAGTTGTATCCTAACTCTGGTGGAAAGGATGGATGAAAAGTTCACCAAGATGATGCAGAACACAAATCCTTATTCCCAAGAATAGGTGGAGCATCTCAAGGATGAGGTGCCTGTCTGTGCCATCATTGACTATTTTCAGTACTAGCTGCAGGAAAAAGGAATGACTGGGATCTGCCATATCTACTTCATCATCTGCTTCATACCTACTACACGTAGCAAGACCCATCACTGGCAGCTTGCTTCCATGAAGGGTCGTCAAAGTAAGAACAGGCTGAAAATTAGAGGGAGGATTCAGGTGCGCAAGTACGTATATACCAAAGATTAGACTGAATTCAGATATGTGCAATCCTCTACCACACTACCAACATGTCCTTCATTCTCGGTAGTAACCGCCCACAGGACAAAATTCAGCACTCAGACCCTCCTGTGCAAATCTTTTATCTAACCATAGGCTGCTGGACATCTGTGTTTTCTGCCAAGGCCTAACCAGGATGCACACAGTGCCCTTCTGGATATTTCAGTCTGGTGGTCATGCTGAGGAGCTGGTGAGGCAGGGCAGAAACCAGGAGTAAGATAAGGTGGAGTATTGATGCCAAGTTTCCCTGTAATTGTGTATCAACCTGGAGCTGCTTAAATATGTCTGTTCGGTATCTGCCATGCTTCTGGGAGATCTCATATTTAGCAGCCCATGAAAGCGATGCCTGGAGGCATATGGTCAGCAGACAGTTCCACCACCAGCTGTGGGTGGGTGAGCAGCAGCTCTTGCTTGGTCCACTGGGATAAAAATGAGGGAACATATAGTACAAGCTTCTAAAGCAGTGAAGTTGGGTGATTAGAAGAGTTGGCCACAGCTTAATTATTAATGAGAAGAAGAAAAAGAAAGTCTTGGATTTTTTCCCTGAGGCCAACAAAGCCCATGCTATGCTAGTTAGGAAGATCCAGGAAGAGTCACTGCATACCTGTTTTTTCCCCCATAGCATTGTCTACAGCTGTATGAGCATGGACATAGTGTCTGAAATGTTCCAGTTGGGTCTGCCCACTGTTCACTTCATAATCAGCAAAATGATCATCAGTGAGGAGTTTATGGCTTCTTGGACTAGCCAGCACAGACAATGGTGATGCACTGCATAGAGCCCACAGCCCGACAGAACCTGGCCCTGCAGCTGAAAAGCCAGGCAACCTGATGGAAAACAATGAGTGTGTCTTCAGTACCTATTGAGGTTGTATTAAGAGACCAGAAAGGTGGCTACTGGAAAAAATGAGGGGAAGATACATGCACTGAGGACTTTACTGCCAGCGAACAGTTACAAACTTCCAAATGACTTCCCCAGGGGATGCAACCTTTGAAATGTAGCATTCATCAAGAGTAGAGGTTCCCAAACTTATTTGGCTTACCACCCCCGTTTTAAAAAAAAAAAAATTACTCAGCCACCCTGCTGGGGTTTGGTTAAGTTAATGCTTGTCTTTATTCAGTGTGTGCCCCCCCCCCCCCCCCCGGTTGCATGTGAGGCTGCTACCACACTCCTGGATTGTTCAGCACATTTCACCCTCCCCCACCCCAGGGGGTATCACCCACTTTGGGAACTTGAGATCCAGAGTAATTAAAAGTCTATTTTGTGTTGGGGGAAAAATTATTGGATATTTCCCAAAGAGCATTTGTTTATGTGGGTTCTGTCTACTAGTATTTACCATATTAGAACTTAAAATATCCTGTTATTATAAAAATAAATTTGAACTCATGGACCTCCTCAAAGGGTGTCTGGACAGCATTTTGAAATGCTCTGTATTTTTATCATTGTGTAAATTTCTCTCATAGTTATGTTCACTTTGCTCTGTATCAGTTCATAAAGGTCTTTTCAATTTTTTTTGAAATTGTTCATTCCCATTATTTTTTATAATCTCATTATATTCTTATACCACAATTTGTTTAGCTATTCCCCAATACAAGGACATCCCCATAGTTTCCAATTTTTAGCTACTACAAAAATAGCTACTATATTTTTTATGTATCATTGAAACTTGTTATGTTTACTTTTATTTCTCTGTTTTCAGTAACGAATAAGTATAATGAATCTTTATTGTATAATCCAGAAGAGCCAAAGATGCTTTTCAGCATTCGAGAACCTATAGCAAATCGCATATTCTCAAGTAGTCGTCAGCGCTGTTTCTCTTCAAAGTAAGTTTTGTAAGGTTTTACTAGTGACTGTTTTCTTCCCTTTTAAGTACTAATGTGAATTGCTTTTCATTAAATTCACTCATCTGTAGTTAACATAGTGGAAAAACAACTTGTTAAACAAATGTAGTAATAAGAAATTGGCTTTAATGATACTCTGTTCAATCCTATTCTGAACTGGTAGATGTCTCAAAGAAACTTTCTGGTTTATGTATTATTTGGAGATGTTGGCTCTTTTCACTTGGATAGTTTTGGTTTTGTTTTGTTAATCTAACAAGGTAATGGGAAGGTAAGAACAGATCAATGTATTGAGAAAAATTTGAATAGAAGGTAATACCTTGCTTCTTATAGAAATTTAATTCTATTTAAAGTAGATTAAAGTAATTGAATTCAGTGCTTTCAGCTTTTCCCTCATTGAACAACAGTAGTAAAAATGACTGTATGTTTCTTATAATTTATTTTAGAGTTCAAAAGAGAAATTAGTGCCTTGTTTTAGAAACTGTGATTTCTGCCTTAGTTTTCTCAGATTGGACAAAGGAAGCCTTAGTTACTGTTGAAAGAAAATTTCAGCTATTTGACAAGTTATGCTTTTCTTTTCAATTTAATTAAGTTAATATTTTATTTTCTCCTAGTTACATGTAAAAACAATTTCAACATTCGTTTTTAAAACTTTTGAGTTCCGGATTCTCTCCCTTCCTCCATCCCCACCTCCTCATTGAGAGTCAAGCAATTTGATATAGGTTATACATGGGTAGTCATGCAAAACATTTCCATAATAGTGATTGTAAAAGAAAATATAGGCAAAAAACCTCAAGAAAAATTAAGTTTTTAAAAAGTATGCTTCAGTCTGTATTCAGATACCATCAGTTCTTTGTCTGGGGATGGATAGCATTTTTCATCTTAAGTCTTTCAGAGTTGTCTTGGATTGTTGTATTGCTGAGAATAGCTAAGTCATTCACAGCTGATCATCACACAATATTGCTGTTATTCTGTACACAGTACATTTCACTTTGCATCATCTCATGTAAGTGCACGTGTTTTGAGAGCATTCTGCTCATCATTTCTAATAATACAATAGTATTTCATCATCACATATCATAATTTGTTCAGCCATTTCTCCAGTTGATGGGCATCCCTCAATTTCTAATTCTTTGCTCCCAGAAAAATAAATATTTTTGTACATATTGGTCCTTTTCATTTCTTTATCTTTTGGAATACTGACCTAGTGGTGGTATTGCTAGGTCAAAGGATATCCATGGTTTTATAGTCCTTTGAGCATAGTTCCAAATTGCTCTACAGAATGGTTGAATCAGTTCACAACTCCACCAATAGTGCATTAACGGTTCATTTTTTCCCACATCCCCTCCAACATTTGTCATTTTATTTTCTGTCCTATTAGCCAATATAATAGGTATGAGATAATGCCTCAGAATTGTTTTAATTTGCATTTCTCCAATCAGTAGTGAGTTAATATAGCTATAGATAGCTTTGATTACTTCATCTGAAAACTGATCATATCTTTTGATCATTTATCAATTTATCAATCTTATTTTTATAAAATTTACTCAGTTCTCTGTTTGAAAAATTAGGCCTTTATCAGAGAAAATTGCTTCAGTTTTTCACAGTTACTATTCCTAACTGTATTTCCCTCCATCCTATTCCTCCTTGCCCCTTGTTTATTCTGTTCTTTCTCCTTTCACCCTGTCCATCCTCAAAAGTGTTTTTACTTCTGGCTATCCCCTCTTCCCCAAAAGTCATGCTTTTCTAGTTAATTTCCTATGTTTGTCTGTGAAGGAATTCCCTAATAATACAGACCAGCTACTGTTCTACAAATAATATTTTTAAGTGTGACATTTGACATTGAGAGGTTAAGTTCCTTGCTCAGGGCCACATAGCCACTATGTGTCAGAGATAGGAATTTTTTTTTTTTGCTTTCTGGTGAGGCAGTTGGGGTTAAGTGACTTGCCCAGGGTCACACAGGTAGGAAGTGTTAAGTGTCTGAGGTTGAATTTGAACTTAGGTCCTCCTGACTCCAAGGCCAGAGCTTTATCCACTGCGCCACCTAGCTGCCCCTGAGATAGGAATTTAATTTATATGTTCCTGACCGTGGTTTGCTACACCACATTGCCTCTCACCATTTCCTTATTGAGAAAAGTTTAGCTTTAAACTTCTATTAGACTTGTAAATTTTCTTTATAAGTACAGGTATGGGTTTTCAGGTCCATAAAAGCATTTTCATTTACAATTCATTGTAGTCATTTTTGTGAGTTAATTTTGGTAGGCTATATTTTAAATTCATGATGTTGCTATCAGTAAGCATGAACAACGCAGTGTTCTTCAAGATACTGATTCTTTTTCATGAAAACTCATTTTACTTTTGTAAGTATCTTAAGTTTTATTCATTCATTAATAAAACATATCCACCAAACATTCTGTGAACTTGGTGAGTTCATCCAAATTTATATACCTTGAAAAATTAATTTGGAGGTTTGAAGTTAGCAAAGTTATAATTATATTTAATCCACATGGGCTTCTTAACATTTCAAAGATGACCAAATTGCTAAAATGCTAGGATTTTTCATTTACTTATTATTTTGTGGAAAATTATTCCTAATGTTAACGATAATGTGTTTCTTCTTTAATTTGCAGGGTTTGTGTTCGTTCTCGTTGTTGGGATGCCTGTATGGTTATAGATGGAGGAACTTCTTTTGAGTTTAATGATGGAGCAATAGCTTCAATAATGATCAATAGAGATGATGCACTTCGAACTGTGCTTCTAGAGCAATGAAGGACTTACTCACTGGACAGTAAATTTTGATCACCCCAAGAAAACTATTTTAATTGCAGAGACAAGACTTCATGTCATAGCACTGCATTTAAAAAAAATTGTTGATGACTGTTCCTTACAATTTGGATACACAGCCAACTCTGAAATTTGGGAGATCTTGAGAAAACCTCTGTGGTTGAGAAAGCTTGAGAAAAAGTATTGCCTAAGAAAATAGATGGACTAAAACTACATGGAGATCTTAGAATTGGTGCCAGCTGTATAACGTACAGATGTTTTTAAGTGATAAAACCTTTAAATTTAAAGAGGTAGGTTCAAATAAAAGATTAAATATATAGGGTGTGATTTAACTATAATAGGGTCCCTTTACCTCTTCCCTCATGCCCACTCCCTCCAGTAGTATTTGAGGATTGTTCAAACCAAACATACTTATCACTCATGAATATTTTTTTTACAGAGAAACAACTTGAATGTTAAGATTTATTGTTCTGATGATTATAGATAATTTTTATAAATCCTGACATTGACCTGTTTGAAATAGGTAAATGTTTTTTATATGTACTTTTAAGAATTTTATAATTTCAGAACATGGTGATGATAAATGCCTTATTTTTTTCATCTTCGTGATTTTAAGGCCAATGTGAAATTTAAGCCTTTTTCCTTTTCTGCCCCACATTTCCTCTCATCTTTAAAAAACTTACAAGAACCCTTTCATTTACATCTTGATTCAGGTTATGCTGTTCACTTGTGGTTGAAATGCATTTATCTGGAGAAAATCATGCTGCTATTATAAACTTTCTAACTACTCAAAAATTATCTTGATACTGAATCAAAGACTTTTAAATATGTGATCATTAGAGTAGGTAATCTCTAAGGTTCCTTCCAGTTCTACAATTCCATGATGATGTGATAATAAAATGAAGTTATATCTGCATAATCTGAATTCACCTTAACCTTAAGAGAAACCATTTACTGTTTGAATCTACTGGTTGAGTACAGTATCTGAAAGAAAGTCAACATAAAAATCAATGAAATATTTGTATTCATTCTTTTTTGAATGCCTTGGTTATAGTTTTATTATTTTCTTGAGTTTTCATCTAATTTACTGCAAGCTTTACATAGCTTCATTGATGGTGTAGGTTTTGACTGCTTTTTTTCTTACATTATAAATTAGATGAAAATTTGTGAATAAAAATGCAAGAAAATCTCTTTAGTTTCCATTTCATTAGCAAATTGCCTTGTAATTTTCTCCCAGTACTTCCACTACTGCTTATACAAACACTGTATTCATGTGAAAAGTTTCGTTGAAAACTTTTTTTATAGCGATAAGAAGTAAAATAATTTGTGAATGATAAGAACAATAATTACATACATAAGTGAACTAAAATGTTTTGCCATGCAATATAATGAATTTATCATGTTACTTTTTCTCACCAAGTTACAAACTATATGTATGAGTCTTCAGAGGGAGTCTAGGTTCTGCACTATGTAACAGAATGAGAATAATGAAATTAAGATAGCATGTCTGTATTTGATGGATAATGTCAATTTTGTTTTAATACTGTTTTTCATCTAAGAAAAACACTATTTTAGATCTGATTTAAGAATGAGTTCAAGTCTTTAGTTTCTGTTGATTGTGTTAGTTAAATTAGTGGTTCTACCATGTAAACATTTCTTCACTCTGAAATATCTTGGTGATGAAATAATGTATACAACTTTTAAAATAATTAAATTTATTACTATTTTTGTCATCTGTTGAACAGGAATGTAAAATTTAAATTCATATTACTTTAATCATGCATTCCATGTGCCAATATATAAGGGTATCATGTTAGTGATCTTAGGAATATGGCTCTTTTCTTCCATCAGTGCAGGCACCCTATATAATGGTAATTTTTGTTCAAAGTGCTACATATTAATATTGGGTTCCTTCTGCTGATTTTACAATAATTAACGAATACAACAACTGAAAGAACAGAAAAAGTGAGCCCCATATATATGTATGCATGCATACATATATGTGCATATGTAGGTGTATATGTATTTGTGTACATACATATATAAATATAGATATATAGAACTAGGGCTCTGTAAAGTGAGAGGACTTTTTTAACGAAGGCAAGGCAAAACAGCTTTTAAAAATACATCTTCATAAACAGGTAACTGGCTAAAAGATCAAATGGATATTTTTACTGACACTAATAAAAGGGCATTAGGAAGAATGATGAACATATTCCTTGAAGATCTTTTGGAAATTTTATCATGGTTTAACAAATGTTTAAGTTCTGACTCCATACTTGAAAAGTGAAACTTAAAAATGTTCATGACATACTTGCTTACATATTCATTGATATTTTGAAAAGTAATGACATGATCTCTGAAGTTGTCACTTTTTTCATACCATTAGAGTGTAAGCTCCTTAAGGGCGCAGTGAATTATGTCTTTTGCTTTTAATATGACACAGTGAATAATCACATATTGACTCATTCTGCCAGTTCAGAAACTGTCATGTTTTTGCCAAATTGAAACTTGACATCCTTTGCTTTTATGGGGGGGGGGAAAGACTGTGGAGTGTTGGTAATTGAGTGTGTATTAAATACAAAATGATACAGTATTTGCCTAAGTATTTTCATAATTTTTATGTTTCAAATAGATTTCTCATCACCAGTTTTTAACATTGATGGCTACATTTGGATAAAATTAACCCAAGCATTTTCATTCTTGTTACTAGCCTCATTTATTTCATAAAATCTCTTATCCAGAGCATCTTGTTTGAAAAGTAGTTTCTTTGTAAAAAAAATTATTTTGATTTTTCTGACACGTAGGCAGCCCAACTCTCAAAATATGTATTAAACTCATCAGCATGTACTTTATCCACTTTATCTCAGTCTATTCTTCTGGGCTGGTATGTGACCAAGGAATGAAAATTATTTTTAATATTGGCCAAAGTAGTCAACCATTGGTCATCAGAAAGAAACATTCTAAAAGTCTTAATATTAATGGATTCTTTACCCACTTTTCACAATAATGCTTTTGAGAATTGACCAGCTTTTATTGCACACTTGTGATAGCACACTTGATTTGCAAAATACAAAAGCAGTCTATGATGTGATAGTTTCACGTGGGACTTAAGGAAGATGGTTTTCTGCTTGAGTCAGATCACACTGTGGGAATTAGGGCCATAAATTATCTAAACAAGTGAATATAGCATAAGGTACTATGTAAGTGTGATAGGCTTTCAAAGGAGAGAGAGATCATTTCTAGCTGGAGTGATCAGGAATTCAACCAGGCACTTTTTTTTTCAGGCACTTGTTTTAAGTCCCTACTATGTAAAAGGGACTATAGGGATATACATACTAAATAAAAATTTTCACTTTCAATGAGCTGACATTCTAAGAAGGGATGGAAGAATGAATGAATGGGAAAAGCATGTATTAAACAGTATATCTTAAAGCACTGTGCTAAGCCCTGGAGATTCAGATTAAAAAAAGTGGCTGCAGCCATTGTTCTCAAGGCACTTACATTCTGACGGGGTGTAAATGACATGAGGTTTCAGCTGCAAGTCAGATAGAAAATTCCCACTGTCCTAAGTGTGCAAAACAGATTGGTAATACATCATCAGTATTGTTTCCTGATAGAGATCTTATTGTTTCTGATTTGAACCATGTAACGGTGCCAATGATTTCGGTGTCAGCACGGTCTTCCCTAGATATACATGTAAATTTACATATGTACAAGTGTTATAGGTTAGTAAACATGTAAATGAACACAGAATATAGAGAAAGTACATATTTAAATATAAGGAAGAGTGGAAGATGGTGCTTGAACTATCTTAAAAAGAAGAGAGGAATTCTACGAGATGGAGGTGAAGAGGGACTTCATTCCAATTATGAGGGCCAACTAATTACAAAGGCAAGGGGACAGGAGGTTGAGTATTGTTTGTGAGGCACAAAAAGGCCAGTTTGGCTGATGGTAGACTTTTTGGAGGGGAGCAGTGTGGTAAGAAGACTGGAAAGTAAGAAAGGGACCCATTTGTGAAGGCCTTGAAAAGTTGAAGAAATTTGTATTTATCTGAGAACCATCAGGGAGCCACTGAAGTTTAATGCAGAGAGTAGTCACATAGTGTAGAGGATGGATTGGAGTTGGGAAAGATTTGAATCGGGGAGAAAAAAATAGATTGTTGCCATAATTGAGGTGAGAGATGTGCAGGGCCTAAATGAAGTAAGGTGACAGCTGTATGACCAGAGGAAAGGTTAGACTAGGAGGAGATAACTGTGTGGAGGTAGAAACAGCAAGATTTAGCACCTGATGGATATGTGAGGTAAGGAAGATAATAACCCTCAGGTTTCAGATTTGGGAGATTGGAAGAATGATGGTGGATGCCTTTTGCTGAAATCAGAAAGGGACAATTAGTGTATTCTTAGAAAAAGATAATGAGTTTGAATTTGAACATACTAAATTTGAGATATCTCTGAGACATCAAATAGACAATTGATAATGCAGTACTAACACTTGGGAGAAACTGGCCTTGGCTATAGATTTGTGAGTTATCTGTGTATAGAGAATTAAACCCAAAGGAGCTGATGAAATCACTAAGAGGATCCAGCAGTCTTGGGAAATACCCATAGGAGGCATAATGGATGATGAACCAACACAAGACTGGGGAACAGGTAAGAGGAGGAGTCAGGAATTACAAAAACTGGGGCAGCTAGATGGCACAGTGGATAGAGCTCCAGCCCTGGAGTCAGGAGGACCTGAGTTCAAATACAGCCTCAGACACCTGACACTTACTAGCTGTGTTAACCTGGGCAAGTCACTTAATCCTAATTGCCTCACCAAAAAGCCAAAACAACAACAACAAAAAAACACAAAAAACCTAGAAAGGAGCATATATCCAGGAGGGAGAGGGTGGTATGCAGTGTTGAATGCAGCAGATAAGGATGAAGACGAAGATAAGATCTGTAGGAAAGGCAGAAAGGATTTAAACTGACCTTCAAAGTTGGTTATTATCTAAAGGATGACTGGGTGAGTGTGGGGCTGGGGAAGAGGCAAAGTATACACAAAGGCCTAGACATATAAAAGGAAATAGTGACTAAACTCCCTTGAACGAGAGGAAGAATAGAATCTCTAGCTTGGATTTCAGCATAATTTGACAATCTTAAGTCTGTCTTTATGAATGAAATGGAGATGCAAGCTAAATCGTAGTATAAGTGAATTTAGACTGGTTCAAAGATCAGAAGCAAAGAGTGGTAAATTAATGGTTTAAGTCAACTTGAAGGTCTCTTATAATGCCCCAGGAGTCTGCCCTTGACCCTGGTGTGTGGTGGTTTTTTTCTTTTGTCTGTGATTTGAAGATGTCCATGACATGCTTGTCAGAGGTGAAATGAGGGTTATGCGGGATGGTTTAAATAGAAAACATTTAAGATAAAAAAACCTTGATATAGTGTGTCAAAAGACTGAATTTATTAAAGTGAAAAGTAATAGAAATAAATTAAAATTATACAAAAGTTTACTACACAAGGATGGGGGTGGAATGGCCAAACAACAGTTGACAGGGAAGAATCTGGGAGTTTTTGTAGACCACAAGCTCAAAATAAGTCACCATTGTGACATGGCAGCCAAAAAAAGCTAGTATGTTTTTCCAGGGCATTGAGAATCAGTGCTAAATGAGAGGTGACAGCTTTCTTACATCCTGGTCAAAGAATATCTGGAGTACTGGATTCAGTTCCAGGTGCCATATGTGAGGAAGCACATTGACAAGCTGGAACTTGTCCTGGACGGCAGCCAGGATGGTAAGAAGACATTTATTTCCAGACTCCACTGCTGACTCTTCTCCACAAGATTTTATCTACCTTCACACACCCTTATCTGTGTTTAGCATAGTGCCCGGACTACAGTAAGCACTTAATAAATGCTCACTGACTGACTGGAAGCCATGCCATAAGAAGAGAAACCAAAGAAAAAGGATATTCCTTCTGGGGAAGAATGAAATGATAGCTATATTTGGGTAATTGCAGGGTTATCCTGAAGAAGAGGGGCTATTTCATCTTTTTTTTCTAGTCCACAGAAGATAAAACTAGATTGACAATGAAGGAAAATTGAGGCTTGATGTAGGGGGAGAAAGCACTTCCAAAATAATGGTCTGCCTTAGGTAATGGGTTTCCCCTTCACTGGAAGTTTTAAAGTAGGTCAAGACTGCAAGACCCTGTCAATATCACAGAATGGTATAGGGTAGACCCTGAGGAACCTTGCAACTCTGCTTCTGAGTGGAACAGAAAATTCACAGAAGGGGTCCTTGGAACATGTAGGTGGAACATTATGTAGGAACATAATTTGGTTGTCTTGAATGCCCAAATGAGGTGTTGGCTCCAGCCTTTTAGGAAGCAGTTCAACCAATGAAAATTTCATTGCCTTAGGAAAAGTGTATTTTAAGTGTAGTCTAGAAGCTGTGTAGAGGATGGGACGGGCAGAAAGAGGCAGGGAGACTTGTTGGAACCATGTGACAATATACAAGTATTGATGGCTAGGTGCATCTATTATATGGGAATTTCCTGAGGTGGGGGGGAGGGGGGAGAAGCCTGTATATAATACAAAATAGGTTGAATGTTGGTGAAAGAATTAAGCCCAACATATGAAAACATATAATATGGATTTGGTAGTGTGGTGGAAGCTTCATTGATGGCAGAGGCCTTTTCATTGTTTTTGTATTCGTAGGACTTGGTACAGTCCCATGCACCTAGCAGGTTCTTACTAAATTGCTGGATTGAATTAAATTGGAAAAGATAACAGGAGAGGAGACTATACTCTCATCACTACCCTAGACTTCCTGCTTTTAAGTATGGACAGTCCCAAGATTCGGAGTAGAACCTTTGATAGAAAAAGAGAATTAGAACAAGGCAGGGCTAGATTTGGAGTTCTCCAGTTGGGTTAGGGAATGTCTATTGAGATTTATCTTGGCTCTGGGAAGCTTAGGGGTCTAGGTGGAGAGAAAATTCTCCAGACCAGATGTTCTTATGTAGAATCTGAATTGAAAAAATTTTTTAACTACTTCAGTATAATTGATTTCCTTTGTATTTTGTTCTTAAAAACTTAATTCTGAGGAGGGATCCATAGGCTTCACTACACTTATCAGAGGGGCCTATGACACAGAATGGGTTAACTCTTAAATATTAGATTTTGCCCATCACTCTAGCCCAAGGATTCTTAACCTTTTTTTGTATAATGGATCCATTTAGCAATCTGGTGAATCCTATGGGTCTCTTCTCAGAATGTTTTTAAATGTATAAAATAAAATACACAGGATTACAAAATAAAGCAATTATATTGAACTAAAGATGTGAGTTCCCTGCACCTTCCCACCCAGTGATGCAGCTAGGGTGGCATAATGGATACAGCATTGGGCCTCAAGTCAGGAAGACTCGAGTGCAGATCTAGCCGTGGACACTTACTGGCTGGGTGACCCTGGGAAAGCCACAACCTCTGCCTCAGTTTCCTCAACTCTAAAATAGTGATAATAATAATAGCACCTACTTCATAGAGCTGTGAGGATCAAATGATATATTTGTCAAATGCCTGGCACATAATAGGTATTTAATAAAGGCTTGATCCTTCTTCTAGGCTCAAGGAAGATCATTAAAGGAGACTTTCAGGGTTTTTTCCTAGTTTCCAAGTACAAAGAAAGAAACATATTGAGGGAAGATTCTATAACCCTGCGTACCAGAGCAATCCCCCCAAATTAAATCTGTTGATTCAAAAGTGAGGATTCTAGACGGAATCTTTTATGTAGTAATGGCAACAGTTTTTGGCAAGATGGTTAAGGTGGAGTCTAAGTATGAGCAAAGTACACTCTTAAGTTCAATCCATTAAACTGTTGATACCGTTTTTAAAGTGACTGCATATTACTATTGCATTAAGTTTACTCACATGCTGCTCTTGTTGCTTTTCACAAGTTGGGCTTAAACGCATAAAGGACGAGTCATTTGTATAAATTTTTTTTCCTTTTAATTAAAAATGTATAAAAGTGGACATCATGAAGGTCACTAAAATCTTGTCAAGATAGCTTATATCTGGACTGGAGTGCTGAAGAGGATGTGTATCCAGAGGTCCAAGTTCCGCCAGACCCAGCCTAGGTCTCTTTAATGGCTATTATGTAAACAACATTTCAAGGTGTAGTTAACATTTAGTGACAGCACAGAAAACAGGCTGGCAACAGTTAATCTCTGTATAACACAGGGCCAAAGTGTTTTCTCCAGCAGTCTTAAGGCAGACTTAACCATATTAGTTCCATCTTGATTTTTTTAAGTCAGTCACAGAAACAAAATAAAGTTAGTATTCTTTGATCAGTGGGAAGAAATGAAATGATTTGTTGACCTAGTTTTTAAGAGTATGAATAATTTTTTTTTCTGGGTGCTCCATCAGTTATAAAAAGTCAAAGCTGCTCCCCTACAAGTACAATCAATGCTTTTAAGTTGGGGTTCCTGCTCCCAGACTGTCCTGAGTCAAGAAACTGCTCCTCTTTCACAAGAGTGCTTAGTTTCGTGGTGCTTCCCGGTAATTGTAGACCCCAGAGCTCTTTCAAATGGGGCATTCCAAACAAATGATGCAAAGATTTTTTATTTCTTGTTATTCAGTACTTGATTCTAAGAGAAAAATCAAAATAGCCCCTTCTAGACTTCAGTTACAAGGAAGAACAGGGAACAAGGCCAAATTCTACCTAGCACCTAAAACAGAAATTGGTTTGTGGAATGTAAACCATCAGAAGCAAAAGCACCTTCAATATAAAAAAGTGAACAAGGCAGCCAGTCTTTACCAATGTTAAGATATGTGGTCATGATGTGGAAAGAAATTTTATAAAAAAGCAAACAAGCAACACCATAATTACATCCCCACAGCTAGTTTCAGAACCTAGAAAAACTACCTATGAATCTCCGTAAAGAAATGCTAATTGGTCCAAGAAGACCTCAAGCTCATCAGTCACAGAAACCAGCTGTCATTTGGCTTGCCCCTGCCTTCAAAGGTTCCCAAGCATTTTTGGTATGCATGTATCACCAAGTGGAAATGTACTTTTACTCTCTGCCCCAAACCTTGGGCTAAAGACAACATTTTTTTCCAGGCTCTTTAAAATGCTTTTGTGGGGTCTCCCTTCCCATGATCCTTATTATCTCAAGGTTCAGTGATTAACACTCAAAGACAGAGTTGGGATTTTTCCCCCCAAGCTCTATTTGTGCTCAGTTCAGAAAATGAGTGATCTGGGGTTCTTCCAATCCATTCTATGTAAGGCAAGACAGAGAAAATGAAAAAGCATGTATGATTACTGAAACAGTTTCTATAAAATTATTCACTTGAGCACTGGCTGCATTCTGAAGATTTTTAGAAGAGGGAATGTCAGAGAGGTGGTATGAAGCACTTACCCTGAACCACCTTTTAATATTAAGTACAGGTTTACTCCCTTCAACTCATAAATACTTGAAATGTCATGGCTCTCCAGGCAGGCCTTTAAAAGGTACTGACAAAAGTTGTGTTCCCAGTGCAAAGCACTTCTTCCTAACTTTTTTTGAGTTAGTGACAGGAAACAGTTCTTTCTCAAGTGATCCTCAAGCCCAAACAGTTACAAGGCAGAAGGTCGAACTCATCAGAGAAAAAACAGTCGAGGGGCTCCACGTACAGGGGCCTTTCTGTCCATTCTTCTGTGAAGGCACTTTGTGACGAGGACATCAGCGGCTACTGGGATTCGGCAGCATCAGGCGGCACCTGATGCCCCAGATGTCTGGGTTCTTTTTGCTGCCTACTGTTGGCCTGGCAATGGTAGTGAAGTGAGAACAGTTGATCTTCAGATGGGGGAGTGCTTCCTTTAGCACAGGAAGGGAATTTTCTGTTACAATTCCAAAAACTTGTAGCGTCTTCAGTGAGGGGATATCTCCAAGTTCACTGGAAAGGGTGACATATACAACTTTTAGACCAGCTAATCTTCACTGTACAGTTTCTCCACCAAATAACACAACAGGTTTCTATGTGATCTATCACAACCCCTAGTCAACCTGAGAAATATGGGGGGAAAAAAGAACAACACAAAAACAGTAGCAAACTTGTCAGCCTTGCACTATCACTTGAACAGAACAATTCCTTTGTGAATATGTGATTCGTTGCTTTGTTGGATAATTCCACAAAGACAGATCCAGTGAAAAATGTTTGGAAGACATGAACATTAGCAGAAGGCCATCGTATCTAGCTCCCCTCTCTGGGTTTAAGAGTATAAAGCAAAACAAGCTAAGATCCTACATGTTCACGTTAATTATCTAGTGATGCCCATTCTCTCCCTCTAAATAACACATATGCTTAATGCTTGAGTTTATGTGTTTGTATATCTCTGCCCCCACCTTCACCAGAAGCTAAATATCTGGAAAACGGGCTGTGTTGCTTTGTATCCCCACGCTTTATACCTCGTACCCTGACTATTATTAGTAAGTGCTTGTTGAATTGCATTATTTCATGCAAGGTACCCTGCTAGGTGCTAAGGACACAAATACTAAGGAAAAAAAGCATTTATTTTTCTCACATTGGTAAATGATGACAACCTTTCTGAAATTTTGCAGAAGATAAATTGGTGGACAAATATCTTTTAGAAGTTATATAAGTGAAAAAAAAAACTAATTGGCTCAGCTTGAAAGACTTCAGGTTTCAATCTGATTTCCCTCTTGGCAACAACAGAACAATCAATACCTCAGAAAAGGGGAATTTGATGTTACACAAAGGTTGAAGTTTATGTTTATTCAGTCTGTTCTTGTCCAGTTCACCTCACCTCACTTCTCCATCTCCGAGTTGGGCAGTTATACACTGAGAGAAGGGGCAATGTTCATTATGTGAGAACAAAAGGAAAGGAACACATGTAAGAGCTGGGAAACATCCTTAGCATTACTCTTAAGGAAAGCATGTCGTGTGTGTGTGTGTGTATACTTTATGAGCTGAGCTTCCCATTTCACAAAGAAATGGCATCTTAAGTAACAACATACAATCTACTATCGAATTCAGTCAGCCTGACACTTATCCCACACACTTTCCAGTGTTATAATAATAACAAAGAAGTTATTACTGCTTACTAGGGGCCAATGCCACATTACAGAAAGCATTCCCAACCCCTTTCTTCTCTTAACTCATTCCCAACCCATGATGCAATCAACCCACTACTACATTTACATGAAATTAGGACAGGGCAAACAATTTGCTCAATGTTGATGAAATCCTGATTCACAGAAAAGGGTGACTGTTTGCCAAATGTCAACAATGTTTTTGCGAAATATCTGCCTTCTCAATGCAGACTGTGTGTGTAGGAATTCATTATCTCTAGTACCCATCTGTTTGAAGGTATATGCCCTGTACAAAGTCTCAAAAAAGAAAATATTTGTTTTCTAATTTCAACAAACCATTTCATTACTGAAGAATAATCAATACAACTAGAAAAGGCAGAGTGATAAAAGTTCCTTTTCTGTTATGGGCACTTATGATAAAAAAAAGTTATCGCAGAAAATTTTTGCTGATTTGTTTTTCAGTTGTGCCTGACTTTTTTGACCCCATTTGGGTGGCAAAGGTGGAATTCAAACCTAGATCTTCTCACTGGTCAGGGCTCAGGTGCTACACCTGCAAGGATGACCCCTGAGACCACGAGTAGTGGTTGTAGCAGCTGCCTCATCTTAGAAAACTTCTGATAGAGTGGCTGCATGCTGAGGGGAAACAAGCCCAGAAAAGATGGGAGTGTGATTTATACTCAGTGAGTTACAAATGAGGAAGCAGGTCCAGAAGTTAAATGACCTGCACAAGGGCACAAAGGTAGGAGGTGGTGGAGGCTGAAGTTGAACACAAGTCTTCCACTCCCGGATTCTACCTTACATTCTTTCTATTCTTCCTATGAGTCTCTGGTAAGTGATTAGGTATCTGCCCCTCAGAATGAAAATAACTATTTAGGAAAAGCTATCTCAGCCCATTTGACCTTCTTCAGCCTATTGATGTACTTCTGGTTTTTCCTGAGACATTTTCAAAGTCTGACATTCAATCTCTGCTTGGTCCTAGGCTACACCTACCTTTGTTCAGTGTCACCCATTCAGGTTTGATACCTTTGCTACTTTTAAAAAATCCTATTTTCATTCATTTATTTATTTATTTAATTTGTTTTGGTGAGACAACTGAGGTTAAGTGACTTGCCTGGGGTCACACAGCTAGTACATGTCAAGTGTTTGAGGCCAGATTTCAACTTAGGTCCTCCCAACTCCAGGGCTGGTGCTCTATTCAATGCCTTTGCTATCAATGATGATGGCTGGTGACACTTATTATTCAAATGTTCAAAAAAAGCTTTAAAAGGAGGCACTCACAGTAAGGCTGCCGGCATTATTTCATAGCATCGGCTGAGCGACAGGTGTTGGAGGTAGATGAGCTGATGAAGTTCCTGGAAACAGTCAGTCTTCAGCAGGACACTGTCACTAAAAGATGGGGAAGAGGTGTCCACAATGATTCTCTCCATCATCCAAGAAAACCTTCTAATAGCCACTTATTCCCTTAACAGTCACCCATCTCCCTTTTCCCCGAGGTAACTACATCTTTCTATGGCAAACTTCCACAAATCCATACCTTAAATCTAAGTGGACCAGATTGGGGCACCGTCCCACTAATGTCGTCACATCTGGGAAGGAAAAAAATATATATAGGCATTTTTTTTATGGGCAATTTTTAAACACAAATCCACATCAGCTGCCTTTGGGTTCAAAAGGAACCGTTTCTCAGAAAAAAACAGACAATAGAAACAAAAAACCTCAGAATGTACAAGACGTTATTTTGATTAAAATACGTGTTAGAAAAAAAAAAGCCATACCTTCTGTTTTGAGGTAAGGCAGCCCACTCCCTTTCTCTACCCTCCATAAAATTACTCTCATTCAGAAATTAAGTTATTAAGAACAGTGAAACAATGATTAAACATTTTTTGTCACCCAAATTTCCTGTAATGCCTGTGTAGCAACCATTCTGCAGAAGCACCAAATGGAAAGTTTGTGTTTGGAATTTAGTATAAAACTAGCAAGTAGCTTTGGCTTGCAAAACTTCATTATACTCCTGAAGCAGATCAAAATGCAACTGGAAAATGTTTAACAAAATAAATAGGAATACAACATAAATAATGTTAACTTGTGGTTTTCTAAGTCATTCAATATGCTATTTCGATTTGAGTTTGACACTGCTGATCTAATTCAGCCTCCCGTTCTAAAAGAGAAGGGAAATGACCTGCCCATGTTATTGTAGCTGGTGAAAGGCAAAGCCAGCCACTAAAACCCTGGGCTCTTGACTCCTAGCTCCACGTGTCCTTAGCTCCACATCATAATGCAATAGGAGCCTAGAAAGTTCAGTGTAAGGTTTGTTTTTTTAAATAACTTTTTTTTTAGAATAAAACAAACACCTTACACAACACAAAATTTGGAGCACTGCTGTTATATAACAGCTACTGTTCCCTGATCCTTTATGTCTCAGCTTTCCTTGGGTGATCAATAACACTCCCCCCTCACCTTAGCTTAGGCCACATGGGCCTGCTTGGACCTCACTCCTCTTCTATGGCTACCAAATATTTGGGACCACCATCACCGACTATTCCCACTGAAATTCAGTGTGTCCACACATGTTCCAGGTTAACATCTAAGAAGACCTAGCTGGGAGAACCTTTTCTGCCTACTGTTTCTGAAACAATCCAAAGGGTTTCTAAAAGGACTTTTCAATATTTTGCCCAGAACTTTTAGTGAGGTCAGTTATCTTCATTCTCTCCTAAAGAAGTGATGAATGAGAGGCCCTGATAGAGGGCATTCTGTCCCCTTTTAATAAGGTGATGATAACATGCTGTGATTTCTTTTCTGATATGTGGGGCGTGGAAGAAATGGGACACAAAGGGGAAGAAGGCTGAACGGATGGGATGGGAGTATCATAAAAGATATAAAAGAAGATAACTCTGGACAAGGGAGAAAAATCAAGAAAGGACTTCTTCCTCTAAGCAGATAAAGCAAATTTTCCTGTATCTGAATATATACTGGTGGGGCACTTGAAAATAAGCAGTAATGGTTTCATGGATGACTGGTGTTAATTCTGATGTGTGTTCTAGTAAAAGATGACCTACTAAAAGGCTCTAGCTAGGTGTGGGGGTGTCAGGAGAGGGAGGGAAAAGTCTCCGGTGCATCTGGCAACTTAACTTTGCTCCCTTACAGGTGGTCCCTTCCCAGTTACCTGATCTCTGTAGATTCTGTCTGTACCCACTGAGATTCAGTTGTGTCACACTTTCTGTAACAGAGCTGACGGCAACTTGGATATGTTCTGCTGTGAAATCAGAGCACCAGGAGAGGTTCAGCTCATCTAAGCTGCATAAAGAGGACAGAAATCATAGTTGGGTCTGAGATAGGGATTGAGAACAGGTTCCACAGGAAAGTACTCTCTGAATGGTGAGCCAGTCCCCAGATCAGGCCATGTCACCTGACCCTAACTGACCAGAAAGGAGAGGTCAATGTTGCTCAGGGCAATAACTGAAACGTTGTTGTTGTTCAGTCATGTCCAACTCTTTGTTAAGTCCATTTGGGGTTTTCTTGGCAAAGACACTGGAGTGGTCTGCCATTTCCTTCTCCAGCTCATTTTACAGATAAAGAAAGTGAAGCAAATAGGGTTTAAGTGACTTGCTGAGGGTCTTGCAGCTAGTAAGTGTCTGAGATTGGATTTGAACTCAAGTCTTCCTGACTCCAGGCCCAGCACCCTATCCATTGTGCCACCTAGCTTGAAATACTGGAGGGGACAAAACAAAATATAAACCAGTGAACTCTTACATATAACAAGCTGCTTTTACATACTGGCAAAGACAATTTTATCTTCACTGCTCCTTATTCCCAATGCTTGTTCCCTGGAAAAATGATGGAGGATTTCTGCCAAAGTCCCCACTGAATAATTCCTCCTTCCTTTTCCTACTCCACACACGATTCCAGGAATGGAATCGAACAGGAAATAGTAATGAGCATGGAATAATATTTTCTCATAACTGTACTGCTCTGAGTTGAAAAGGTGCTATTAATGGTGAGTTAGTAAAAAGATTAAAAAAAAAGGGAACTTTGCGATGACTACAATAAACTAAATGAAAATGACACTGACAAGAAGCCAAACTGATTAATTTTAGGACCAGTTTTAGCCCTAGTATGTCTGTATGAATACAAACCCCTCCCTCCTCTCAGTGGACAAGTCAAGAACCACAGATGCATATTGCTATGTTCCCTGTGAGATGAAGTCATTGTGTCTGTTTTATAACTGATTTTTTTTGAGGGAGGAAGGACTCAAAAAGGAGAGTTTGATTATAAGGTGGGGCACAGAATGAGAAAGGAATGGGATATAAAAACAGAAGGCATCAATAAAACATATTTTTTTAATTTTTTTTAATTTTTGGCAATTGGGGTTAAGTGACTTGGGGAGGGTCACACAGCTAGTAAGTGTCAAGTGTTTGGTCTGAGGCCGCATTTGAACTCAGGTCCTCCTGACTTCAGGGCCGGTGCTGTATCCACTGTGCCACCTAGCTGCCCCCAAAACATGTTTTTTAATAGCTAAAAAAGTAAACCCTGTTTTAAGGAAAAAGACATTTGCAATCTAAGTTCCCTTTGCAAACCTAGACAAGCGTGACTATATTACATAAACGGATGCTATCACTGTTGTTCGTAAGTATAAAAATGGCACTTATGGAAGTCTGCAGGATATTTGGTATCACTAGGGAACATAGTTTTTTTCTGGCTATGCTTCTTAAACCCAGCACCTGAGCTGCATACTTAGTTTGATGAATTACCTCACTACCACATAATCCATTTTGAATAGGTTTAGGAGGGTATATTTTCTATCTGAAGTCCCACAAAGACTCTTAAGAGACACATGAGAAATAGAGTAATTCTGTGATTATATAAGCTATAGTCCTCCCTCTGTCCTATCCTTTTTCTAGGTAACATCTATCAAATATCACTGAGACCTGGTAAACACTGGAAAAAGCAGACTTTTAAAAAAAAGAAATCTGAACTACAACAACAAAAATTAAGGTTTACTTTGATGGTATGTGGTATCTACCAAGTTTGACAAAGTCAATCGATTTAGGTGGAAAATTATTGTGGAAAAAAGACTTAAGTTTGAAATATCAAGTTCTAAATTTCAAATCCACTGTTTTTTCAGTCACATGGGCTTGAAAACCTAGGACTTGAAACACCCTAACAAGTCTTCCTTTTCTTTTTTTTTTTTAAATGGATGTAAAAAGAGAGGTAATCATTATAAGTTAGCCTGACAGATTTACTACAAAGCAATTCCTACCGAGTACAGCCGCTCAGCAGAGCCCCCAGTGCAGAGGCGGAGAATCCGGAACACCCAGAGAGGTTTAATCGCACTAAGTCTGAATTCTGAGCCAGGTTTCTGAAAGAAAAGCCAGAAATACACAAATAGACACATTCAGCATTTACGAAGCATATGTGTGTGTGTGTGTGTGTGTGTGTGTGTGTGTGTGTATACACATATGTATTTTATGGTTAGGAAGGAGGGTAAGGAACCTAAAAATGTGGAAGAATATATACACCTTAAAAGGAATAACAATCGGTGTGGAAAAATAAAACCTGACATGTATAAATAACTAGAGAAAAGTTCTAAAGTAACAAGTGTAAGATAGCATGGTACAGACCCTATGCTTAAAGGATGAAGAAATTGAAATAAAGGGGATTAGTTGGGTAAGATTTCACAAAAAGAGCCAGTCTTAATCTGGGCCCTGGAGAGAAGGGAAGGATATAGATCAACAGGGGAAAAGGAAGGGATGAGAGGGCATTAAAGGAGGGAAAAGGCTTAAAAGAGCAAATGAGTAGAAACATTTCAGGATGTGTTAAGATCAGAAGGCAGAGAAGCTCAGGGCTCCCAACTCAAATCAACAGCCAGAAACCCACACAAAGTCAAGATGATATACAAGGCTGGTCTAAATGGAATAAATTCTGCTTTTTTAAGCTTCTATTTGCCGGAGACAGCAACTTAGGGACACATCAATAAGGGCACAAGGGCAGGTGAGAATTCCGATGGTTCCCAGAGATTTTCTAAGAGTATTGACAATGATGACCAGCTATCACTCCTGAAGCAATCCACCATCCCTCACAACCGCCTAAGAAGAGGTGGGCATAAAAAGTCCACTGAATGCCAGATTCTCTGCTCTGTGACTACCCCCTTGCCATATAATGTAGCAGAGGTGGCAATCACGACCCACCTGGCGATGGCATCCGAAAGCCTCAGTCCTTCCAGGCTCAGGTTCTGCAGCCTGCAGCATCGAGACATAATGTTCTGTAGGGCAGCCTCATCTATTATGCAGTTAGACAGGTCCATATGCTGCACCCGAAGTGGTCTGCAAGTAAATGAGGTGGTCCCTTACTTGTGCCATAACAAAAGGTTCCACTGTTATCACCCTTTGTGGCCACCCACTGTTTTGACAGACTGTGGTCTTACTTGATCCCTAAGAGCATCAGGAGGGAGAAAGTGCTAAGTATTACCAGCCTCACCATTTTACAGATAAGGAAACTGAGGACTGGAAAGGTTACATGCTTTTCCTCCTCGGGTCAAAGATCTGGGACATGACAAAGCCAGGTCTCATGATTCTGAGTCCCATGTTCTTTTCATTGCTGCATAAACTTGAAATGATTTCTGCTTCTTAAACCACAGTTTTTTTTTCTGCTTGGATAACATTTTGAAACGAATAAACGCATAAGGCCAGCTAGTATTTTACTAGGATTTAGTGGTAAAAAAATAATTCAGTAGTGCTAATGAGAGGCAGTGTGGACTTCACAGTGCCCATAGAAACCTTATCATCTTGCAAGATGAAATCAGCCTTGGTCCTTCATCAGTACCCTTTACCCCTAGGACTCCTCTGAATGGAGGGTGGAGAACTTCCATCCAAGAAAGAACTTTAGGCACCATCTCCTCATTTTCTACTTCCCTGAACTACTTGAGACTTCATTAAGTCCTTGCCTGGGTACCTTCTCTTCCTCTCCCCAGCCCTTTATCAGATTCTTTTTGTATACTGTTTTCCCCTATTAGATTGTAGCTCCCCGAGGGCAGGGATTATCTTTCTTTTTAGCATTTTTATTCTAGAGCTTATTTATTTATTGCTTACTTAATAAATGTTTATTGACTGACTGGTAGTGGATAATGGGGCCAGCCCTAAAAATGGGAAGCCGTGCGTTCAAGTATATTCCTCTATCACATACTACTGTGTAACTTAACACTTGATCTCCTACTGCCTGGGACAACTCACTAAGACTACAAATCACTGATGAATTGCCAGTTGGAGGGCATTTCTACACCAAGAGTTTCTTACACTGATGACCTATAGGTCTGGGGAAAAAGAAAAAAGAATGTTCATTTGGGGCTTAATTTGCCATTTCCTACTAACATGGGTTTAGATGGGCAGCTGCAGGAGTAGGAGAGGGACGAAGGTAATATATTAAAGAACAGCAGCTGAATTCTGGTTCTCAGATGTTCCTGGGGTCTTACTATTGTACTACACTGACCCTGGAAAGCGTTAGACTAATTCTGCAGTGGATTTTTGCTGAACATAAGGAGGAACCCTCTCCTAAAGCCCTCCTATGATGCCTCGTCTTGTCATGGAGGGGAGTACTTGATTCCCTCAGCCTGTAGAACAAGAATTCAGACAGCTCCCCACGTGGTTCTCAGGCTCATTTTTAGTATGGGCCCAGTAATGGCTATGTGTCCGTAATCTGAGCCTTAGTATACGTCTGGACAGGCTCCCCCTCAGGTCAGTGGTAGGTGATTAGGTTTCTTTTGGCCACAAGATGTCATATAACCAACAGTCTCCCAAAGTACTAAGGAGATCTCAATCTGCCTCAGTGGAGGGAGTTCCTGCAACCAATAAAATCGTGTAGGAAATTAACAATTCTGATTGTTCCGAAGCCACTTTGTGCAGCTGCCAGGAATGCTGAAGAGGTGGAGGCTTTGTGCTTCAGGTGAAAATTGGACTTGATCTGGGGTGGGGAACTTGCGGCCTTGAGGCCACATGTGGCCTTCGAAGTCTTTAGGTGCCGCTTTTTGACTGAGTCCAAGTTTTATAGAACAAATCCTTTTATTAAGTGGATTTGTTTTGTAAAGTTAGGATTCAGTCAAAGGGCCACATGTGATCTCGAGCCACAGGTTTCCCAACCCTAGCCTAGATGACAGCCAAAGTCCCTTCCAGCTCTAAGAGTCTATTATTTCCCTTTTTAGTCACACAATTACAGTTTTTTGCTTTTTTTGTCCCTACAGGGATAATCTTACCTGAGATTTTTAAACAGTGGCGCATCCACGTGTGATCTTGGGCAGCGAAAAGCAACCACACCTATAGAGAGCAACTGCCCAATTACTCCTGGCAGTAAATGTTTCCCTGCCAGGTCTAAAGTCTGCCACAGTGATTCATCAAACCTAGAAGAGAGGTCGAGTTGTTTCAGAAAATTAAACATTAGGAAATCTCACTAACCCTTTCCACCAAAAAAATGATGACAGAGATACTAGAACCAGCTTGGGTTGATTTGAGGCTTCTCTGCCTGATTTGCATTAGTCTATAGCAGAATAGCCTCCAAAAATCCAAAATTCCAAAAATAATGGCCATTCAAATATTTGCTGACATTGATGATAATGAAGTGCATATCAAAATACTTTATAGCAGGAGATGGCTCTCTGGGAAGGGGAAGGGGAGGGATACTTGGGATAGCTATAGTAGTGTAAGAAATAGAAAATAACAATAAAAACTAAAACTCTTTACAGCAAATTCCAAGGGACTATTCCAATTCTTTAGATTTTTAAAAAATATTTAGCAATTTATCATATTATAGTTAGATTCCTTATATTTGAAATATCTGGGCTAATGTATACAGCTATGCAATCTTTTTTTTTTTTAATATGCTGTTATATATTTTTTCTAATAGGAACTGTCCTGTTTTACTGAAAATGGTTGGACTGGTGATAGAGGATCCAGGGAAGCTGGGAAGGATCACTTCTTATCTTAGATCTGGCCATTTCAGGTGCTTGGAAGGAGATGTAAGAGCTCTGGGGCTCCAGCTTTTGAAACTCCACTAAGCATTGCTGTTAGCCTATCCCAAGGAGATGAACTTGCCTATTTCAAATGGTTTTCCAGTTTTGTTCTAAAAAGCCCACATTCCAGGTCATTATTCCAAATTGGAAACACGATTTCACAACCCTGTGCTTAGTACTTACTCTTTTTTCACCTTCCTTGATTTTAATCAACTTTTCACAAAATCATAAAAAATTGCTTTCAGCCATTAGGTAGCAGGCAGAATTCAGGGACTCTAAACTGAGTATTCATATAAGTGGTCAACTGGATACTTTATTCACCTGGCTAGTAGAGAGAACAAATCCACAATTGCCAAGTGATGGTGGAGCTGAGTGGAAAGACGCTGAGCTCCCAGACCTGCAAGAACACATGTATTGATGGCTGGAGACGAATAGGCCAGGGCTTGGAGCACACACAATCTCAGGAGCAGATGCCTGTCCAGAAGACCTGGATAAAGAGCCTTCCTGTGTTCCCAGTCCTACACTTAGCTTTTACATGGAAGCAGCAGCTCCCACTGTCTTTCAAAGGTGCACATGCTCCCTCTAGAGGAAGCCTCTTTAAGAAAGAAGTAGAAAGAAGAATGAGAAGTGAAAATAACTGAAAAATGAAACTTTTAGATGACCTTTGAGGCTTTCTTCCAAAGCTGAAGTCCTGTAAACTGTGATTTTTTTGGAAACAACCCTGCTAATGGACTAATACAAATCAGACAGAGAAGCCCCAAATCAGAGCCAGGCTGTCTCTAGGATTCCTGTCATCATTTTTGGCTGAAAGGGTTGGTGAAAAAACAATGGTGCAGATGGCTACCCAAGGGCTTAGGGTATGAGGCAAGAACACTGTGAATGTTAACAGAGCTGTTAAGGAAAAAGCAAGCTAACATGTAGGGGCAGCTAGGTGGTGCAGTGGATAGAACACCAGCCCTGGAGTCAGGAGAACCTAAGTTCAAATCTGGCCTCAGACCAGACACTTGACACTTACCGTTGTGTGACCCTGGGCTAGTCACTTAACCCCATTGCCTAGCAAAAACAAAAACAAAACAAAACAAAACAAAAAAAAGCTTACATGCACCCTGGGGGTTAAAAAACAAAAAACAGGCACAAAACCAGGACGAGGCTCAGAGTATGGGGGCCCAAGAAATCACCTACTTTCCTTTGGTGGTGATTATTCAGAAAGTATTTGTTATTGATAACCACTGATCATCAGCTCACAGGTCTGATGAATTGTACTGCTGATTTTTTTAAGCCAGCCAGCATTTCCTGTTAACAACATCCACTTGAAGCATCGAAGCAAAAGACAATAAAATACTCACGAGAGGCGATGCCACCTCTTACAAATCCCAGAGACTCTTACGAGGTCGGGCAGAGATAAATATGAAAAGATTCCGAGGAGCAATTCGTCTGGAAGCATATCCCAGGAAATTCCTTTAATAAAACAAAAACAGACCAGGTTTGTTTCCTCAAAATTCTGATTTGAGCACTTAGGTTATACAAAACTCTATTAAATCCTTTTTGTTCATTTTTAAAAGTGGACATTTGGAGGGAATGGAAAGAGCATAAGATCTGGAGTCACATGAATTGGGTTTGAATATTTGCCACTTACCACTAGTGTGATCACAAAAAAAAACACCATTCCTCTCCCTTGGTCTCAGTTTCCTTATTTGTACAGGGGTGGGGCTAGATTTTAACTTTTGTTAGATAATCAAGATTTAGTAAGCAGCTACTCTGCGTTGGGTATCCAAAGACAAAAAAATGGAAAAGCCCCTGCCCTCAAGGAATTTATATTTTATTGCCGAAAACAATGGCATATACATATATCAGGATATAGACATATTTGCATATATAAATAAATACATAAGGAAATACAGAATAATTATTAAAATAAATACAGGGCAGTTTTGAGAGGGAGGTCACAGCAGCTTGGAGAAGATGACTAGGAAAGCTTCTCCTTGAACATAGCACATTAGCTAATTGAGGAAACGCTTTCAAAGCATTGGAGACAGCCAAAGAACACAGATCAGAGACAGAGAGTCATGGAAAGAGTACATTAAGAAGGCTGGTTTAGTTGAATTATAGAGGGCACGGAAGTAGAGTGATATATAACAAGGTTAGAAAGATAGGGTAGGGCCAGATGCCAGGGAGCAGTGTGAGTGATTTTATATTAATATATAATACAATATTTTATATTTATATCTTTAACAAGATGAGGCTCAGAGTATTGTCCTACCTTAGGCTGGGACAACTTAGTCGGTCAATAAACCAAACACCTATGTGCCAGGCACCGTACTAAGCACTAGGGATACAAGAAGGGCAAAAGGCAGTCCCCACTCTCAAGAAGCTCAGTCTAATGGAGGAGACAGCATACAAACAACTGTGTACAAATAAGCTCTAATACGGAATTTTTTTTCCTCCATTGGATCCAGATGGCTCCAGAGGAGAAAGTAAGGCTGGTGACTTTGCATAGCCCTCCCTCACTTAAATCTGATTCAACTGTATGTCATGGCATCACCTCCCTGATGTCATGGTCCTCTTTGAAGGACAAACAGCAGTAATAATGGGATAAACTGGAAATAACCAACTAGAATTAGGGAGATCAGGAAAGGCTTCTTATAGAAGGTGGGATTTTAGGGGACAGCTAGGTGGCGCAGTGGATAGAGCACCAGCCCTTAAGTCAGGAGGACCTGAGTTCAAATCCGACCTCAGACCAAACACTTGACACTTACTAGCTGAGTGACCCTGGGCAAGTCATTTAACCCCAATTGCCTAAAACTAAAAAACAAACAAAATAAAACAAAAAAAGAAGGTGGGATTTTAGATGGGACTTGAAGGATGCCAGAGAATCCAAGAGTTGGGAGATGAAGAGGAAGAACATTCCAGGCATGGGGGACAATCAGTGAAAAATGCCCAGAGATGGGAGATGGGGTGTCTTGTTTGAGGAACGGGCAGGAGGCCAGTGTCACTGGATCAGTCTATGTGATGGGTTTTTGGGGGAGTGTGGGGGAGGAAGGAAGCACAAGTTATGTAGAGTCAGAAGATTTTACAATTGATAAAACACTAATTATTGATAAGGTACTTAATAATTAGCTAACACATCTAATGAACGTTGTACTGTTGTATTTCTCGTGGGTCTGCAGAATAACTTCAGTCCAAAACAGAAAAGAAAAACCCAACAAAACCCAAAACACCTAGCCTGCATTTCCTTTGTAACACCTGAAAACCTTTTCTAAAAAAGCAAAAAAAAAAAAGAGTAAAAGGAGTTTATAGTTTATCTTAGAGGCAGTAAGGTGCTACTTGACTTTACTGAGCAGGTGAGTGACAGAGTCAGGCTGACAGAACTCTGGCAATTGAGTGGTGGAAGGATTAGAAAAGAGAAAGGGCTTGAGGCAAGGAGAGCAATGAGGTCATTGCATTAGTCTGAGTGAGAAGTGAAGAGGACTCCATGAGTTACTAAAGCAGATGGGTGCAAGGGATATTGTGGGTAGAAACGACAAAACCTGGCAGCAGAGAAAGTGATCTTTGAGTCTCTTCCCAGCTTGAACTCCAAAGGTCATTTATCTTATGAAAGAAAGGAGCACATGCTTGACCCAGATTCCACCCCCTCTCTGATATATTTTTTCTTTTCTTTTTTTTTTTGGGGGGGGCTAGGCAATGGGGTTAAGTGACTTGCCCAGGGTCACACAGCTAGTAAGTGTTATGTGTTTGAGGCCTTATTTGAACTCTGGTCCTCCTGACTCTAGGGCCAGTGCTCTATCCACTGCGCCACCGAGCTGCCCCAATATATATTTTTTATTCAATTTTGAATCTATGTGAACTTGTCCCTAATACAGCATCTCCACCCTCTTCTCCTGTGTGATAGGGGTTTCATAGGGGAACAAGGATGCAGGACAGAACCACTGTCCACAATAACATAATGGAAAGCTGACTAATGTGGGTGGCAAAGACCAAAGAAACAACTCCAAAACATGATTTCAATAGCCTTGGAAACAGCCATTCACTTTGACTTTTTTTTTTGTGAGACGATGCTGATTTAATAGTGCACTATGCTTTCCTCAGGAGTGCAGATAAACACTGCATTAACTACATGTCTGGCCAGATTGACTTTTTCAAAGAAGCCTGATGAGAAATAAACTTGATAGGATGTAGTAACACAATACAATCCATTTAGGTTAGAGTAAATGTGTTGTGGTGATTCACCCAGGTGGCACAAACAACTAAAATATACAGAGACAATAACTTAGATATACATGACATTTTAAGATTTACAAGGGCTTATCCTATATACTATACACACACCGCCCCCCCATAACATGGCAGTGCTGATTAGCATGTTAACGTGTGTTATGTCTATGTTTGCGCATGCACATATTCATGTTCATGTGTATATGTGGTAATGTGTATGAAATATGTAGGATAAGCACTTTGTAAAACTTAAAACCGATATAAATGTTTATAAAATATTAGGCCCAAACTCTGTGTATGGGTGGCGTTGATCTGATTGGCATCCTTGATACAGGTAGAGTATTCTTATTTTCATTTTACAGATAAGGAAACTGAGGCTTTAAGAAGACAAAGATCACATGCCCTACCTGGGATTCCAATTTCAGGGCTCTTTCTCCTACCCCATACCAACTTCCAACTATAGGGAGCAGATTTTAAGGTTTTAAAATCTTACATTCCAGGACTCTCCTGGGCTGATTATATAGGGATATTCCACAAAAATATGCCCTACTTCAAAAGAACATATATATTTTCCTGCTTCAGCAATGTCCTGGGACTAGCTCCTGCCCCCGAGGGAACTGGATAAAACAGCTTCGATGCTTGGCTGCAAATTTCAGTATCTCTGTTGCTGTCTCACTGGAACCCATGTTTCCCGCTCAGAACATGTCTCAGCTTCCCCCAGTTTCAGCAGGCAGAAAAATTATTTCATGGGGCTCTCGAGAATTTGGATAGGGTGGCAAATTCTCTATTATTCAGAACACTTCTGGGAGTTGAAAAGGAATTCAAAGTTTATCTACTCACACCTACATCTAAACACAAATTCCGCCCCTTTTCCCTAATACATCCCAGACAAGTGGCCACACCAGACTCAGAAGAGGTTCAAGAATGCGGAACTCACTCTCTCTTTAAGGTAGGCTGTTCCACTTGATTAGGCAGCAAGTTTCAGCTTCCTTTGCCTTTCCCCTTAACCCAGTTTTACAGATGACAAAGGATTGTTCCACGTACATCAACCTCCATCTGTGTCTTTGCACTGGCAGTTAGTTCCTCCAGCCTGGAAGGCTTCCTACCCCCCACCTTTAGAATACCTCGCTTCCTTCTGCAGGATGACTTTCTTGCCCCAACCCCCAGCCACTAGAGACTTCCCCTCTACTTACCTATCACCTATTCTGCATGTATCTTGTATGTGCCTCAGTATTTCCATGCATTTACTAAAACATAAACTTCCTGAAGGCAGAGACTATGTATTCTTTGTAGCCAGCCCTTAGCACAATGTAAGTACTTAATAAATACTTGATTTACAGGACAAGAAGAAGGAGTCTTGCAAGGGTGAAAAACTGCCCAGGTTACTTAGCATATTGGCAATCTTAAACAATCATCTCTGCTTACTCATGGAAAGAAAACAACCAACAACTTAATTTCAGATTTATGACCATCAAGTGCTATGCGTACAGATCAGTTGCCGAGAAAGGGAAAATCAGATATCTTTTCTGCTCTACCTAAGCCAGGTTTTTAAAGGGCATATGAAGTCTAGTCAATTTGCTGAACATAAGACAGACCCATATTCGAACAAAAACAACACAAGACCACTAACAAGCCATGTGACCTTGAACAAGTCACTTCCCTTCTCTGTGTCATCTTTAAAATGAGAGGCTAGCAGGGCTGGGGAACCTGTGGCCTTGAGGACACGGATGGCCCTCTAGGTCCTCAAGCGCAGCCCTTTGAATCCAAAATTCACAGAACAAATCCCCTTAACAAAAGGATTTGTTCTGTAAAATTTGGACTCAGTCAAAAGGCTGCACCCAAGGTCCCAGAAGGCCACATGTGGCCTCCAGGCTGAAGGTTCCCCACCCTTGGTTTAGCTTAAACAATCTCAGAAAGTCCCTCTTGGCTTTAATTATCCATGAATAAAATATTAAGGCCAAACAAGATGAATCTGTTATGAACTTGTCACCAGCTGGACTTGTAATATAAGCAAGCTCAATCTCACACACCTGCCTGAATCTTTCCTCTCAAGTCTAGCTACTTTTGCTGCACTTTGTTCAGAAGAAGTGGCTTATGCTTACCCACAAGAGTAATAAAATTAATAATAAAAAAAAATCAGCCACGGAAGAGCTTGCCTTTTCACCCAAGACATGGAGAAAAGGGACCCTGGGTCCTGTTACTTGCTGTGCTTTTGGGTTTTTGACCAGAGGCAGGCACAGTTCTTTCTGCAGGTTAAGCAAATAATGTCCTTTCTTGACATATGACTCACCAAGGTCTAACAGTGGTAAGTGGACACTGCTTCACATGGAGCCATGTTTCTATGAAAGGATCCCTTGAAATGGAGCAAATGCTGGATTCAGAGTAAGAGCCACTTGAGTAGAAATCCTGGCTCTTACTTACAAGCTGTGTGACACTGGGCAAATCACATCACTCTGTTCCTCATCTGTAAAAGGAGGGGACTGGATCAGTCCAAAAATATTCACTGGCTCCCTACTAAACTCCTGGGTTGGCATTTAAGGCCCTCCAGATTCTGGCTCCTCCCTATCTTTCCCACTTTTTTCCTTTTCTCTGGTCAAACTGGATGAGAGAGGGAGGAAACAGTTTGGTGAGAGCTCCACTTTAGAGAAGGCCAAAATCCTGGGCAGTTTAAGTAGCCCTAGCTGACAGGTCAGCCATCCTGACATTTGTTTAATGGCACCCATCGCCTTTTGCTCATGCCCTAATAATGGCTGGCACAGCAGGTAGTCAGGATTATAAACATCTGTGGATGAAATAAGCTCTCCCTCCCCACAGGTATCTGACTCAGCTGTGAGACACCTGCTTTGAACTGTGTCCCTTACCAGAAAGCAGGGTGAGCTCTCCAACACAGGCATCTTACACACACAACTGACCCTAAAGATCAGTGAGAGGTGTCTTGGTAGGGGCTCATCTGTTTTAGTATGGGAAGTTTTTATTACACTATTTTTAATTATTTATATATTTATTATATTACAATATATATTTTTACTATTATATTATTATTTTTATTACACTAAAATAAAGAGACGTAGTTTGTGAAAACTACTTCAATAAAAAGAGAACACTGGCCCAGGAGTCCTGGGACCTGGGTTTGAATTCCACATCCAATGATGACAACCAGTGTGACCTGTCCCTTAACCTCTTGAGTCTTGGTTTACTCATCCATAAAATGAGGGAGTCAGACCAGATGGCTCTGAGGTTCCTTCCAGCTTGAGGTTATTTAGGCACTTCATATAGGACACACATGGAGTCCATGACTTGCCCCGGGCTATAGACACATAATGGTACAATGACCAACACCTCCTTCACAGAGGCATCCTTCATGATGCAACTGCAGATGACAGATGTACAGGCCAAGTTTCCTCATCTGTAATGAGGAATGGGATAGAATGAGTTTCCTCATACTCGTTTATAAACTCATCCATAGAAAAACTATCTGCTGTGCTGACGCTGACACACTGGAAGTAGTGCCTGGACTTTTCAGGGTGTTCCTTGGTAGTTCTGCCTTCTCTGGGGTCCCTGAGCTCAATGACACCTCCAATATAATCCTGCTCTGATGGCCCCTCATGACACAGGGTGACTTTTTTGAATGAGGGGACTGGGAACAAAGAAAACCTCAATCTGGGGTCCATGGACTTAGAGGATCCAGGGAAAGGAATGAAGGAGGAAAAGGAAGGGAAGGAGGAAGGAAAGGAAGGAAGGAAGGAGGGAGGGAACTAAGGAAGAAAGGAGAGAAAAAGGGAGGGAAGGAAGGAGAGGAGGAAAGGAGGAAAGAAAAGAGGGAAGGAACTAAGGAAGGAAAGAAGAAAGGAGGGAAGGAGGAATCTGGGATCCATGGACTTTCAGAGGATCCATGGAAAGGAATGAAGAGGAAAAGGAAAGGAGAGAAGGAAGGAAGGAGGAAAGGAAGGATGAAGGAAAAGAAAAAAGGAGGGAGGGAAAAAAGGGAGTGAGGGATGGAGGAGGGAAGGAAGGAGAAAGAAGGAATGAAAGAAGAAAGGAGAGAGGGAGGAAAGAGGTAAAGAGAGGTAGGAAGAAATTATTCTAATATGCTATTATTATCTTTATTTTATAGTTGAAGAAACTAAGGCAGACAGGGGTTTAGTCATTTGCCCAGGCCCACACAGCCGGGAGGCGTCTTGACGCTGGATTTGAACTAAGGTCTTCCTGACTCCAGACCTGGTGCACTATTCACTGTGCCACTTAGCTACCTCCTAGATAGGGGAGGTAGGGGAAGGGGAAATCGCATCTTTATTTTAATTTTAATATAACTGGTTTATTTTGTAATCCTGTGTGTTTTTATCTTGTAGATTTAAAAACATTATTCTGAGAAGGGGTCACAGGCTTCACCAGATTACCAGTCCACACCACCCACACACCCGCACCCACACACATAGAGAACCCTAGGCCAGAATGCTGGGCAAAGTCTAATAAGATGAAATTTAATCGGAATAAATGTTAGGTTCTATGCCGAGGTTCAAAAGGCAATTGCCCTGGTACAGAATGAAGCATACAGTTCATCTGTAAGGGGCCTGGAGGTTTTAACAAACTGCCAGTTCAGGATGTGACAATGTTGACACAGTGGCCAGAAAAGTTCCTGCAATCTGGCTGCATTAATAAAGTCTGGGACCATATTTTAAGCTCAAGCTGAGGGTGGACTGTGTCCAGAGAGGGGAGACCAGGATGCTAACAGGGTTAAAAAACTGCTCCTTGAGAACATGGTGGAAGAAGCAGGAGATGTTCAGACTGAAGAAGGGATGCACACATGGTAACTCTGTAAGTATTTGAAAGACCGTCACATGGAAAAATTAGACCTGTTTAATTCTGGTGCCTTCCTCCACCTAATTATTTCCTATCAATTCTGCATATAGCCTGTCTGCACATTATTTTTTTTGCATGTTGTCACTCCATTCAATTGGGAACTCCCTGAGGGCAGGGAATATCTTTTGACTCTTTTTGTATCCCCAGCACTCAGCACAGAGCCTGGCAAACAGCAGGTATTAATTATTAAGTGTTTTACCTGGTTTCAGAGGGTAGGATTGGGGCAAAGGATGGAAGTCATAACTGGCAGATTTATGCTTCATAGATGAAAAAAACTTCCTAGTGATTAGATAACTCAAAGTGGAATGGGTTGACTCCGTAGGGAGTGAGTTCTTCCTCTCTTAAGACCTACAGGATTATAGATTTAAGTGTAGAAACCCTGCATCTAATCAAACCCCCTCTTTTTACAGATGAGGAAACTGAAACCCAGGAGAGATGAAGGGGCTTGTTCCAGGACACACCAGTACTAAGTGGCAGGGCCTGGATTCTAACCCAGGTTGTCCTGACCCCAAATGCAGTTCTCTTTTAATGAGCAATGTGGCTTTGGCGGCACCAAGCTGAAAGATCAATTATTGAGGATCCTTCTGGCTGAAGACTCATTTGACCTTTTGGTTCCCTTCCAACTAGAGAGATTCTAAGATTTGTATGACTCCAGGTTCTTGGAAGCCTGTGCTACTCTCCCTATCATGCCCTCTCCCCTCATTCCTCCATGTCTGCTCTCCTAAGAAAGAACCCTTGGTGATACAGCCAGAGATCCTTGGAGCACGAGGTACCCTTAAACAACACGCTTACAAACTGCTTTCCATACATGTGTTATCCTTGCTCCTCATCTTTCCATTTTAATTGTCTGACACATCACCAATTCTTGCCTCTTCTACCACCCCTGGATGTTTATTGCTTTTCAACTTTCCTGTTCTAACACTTTATCTTCATTTACTGAGACATTACTTCTTTGAGAAGCAGCTTAGCAAGGCAAGTGCTAGGCTTGGGAGCAAAACTGGACTCATATCTTGTCCCCAGAGCAACCAAGGATCAACTACCCAGAGAAACTTATCATAATCTTTCAGGGGAGGAGATGGACATTCAAGGAAATAGGGGACTTAAAAAGACCAGAGCTTAACAGAAAATTTGACCTTCAAATACAAGACTCAAGAGAGGCATAAAAAGGTAAACAGGAAAGAAAAAATAAAACAACATATTATTAATAGGGCAAACTGTTTACATCCCTCCAAGGGAAGATGACACTTGTAACTCTTAAGAACTGTAATGTTATTATGACATTTAAAAGGGGGTATACTTAGAGGGCATGGGTTTAAGTTGATTTGGAAGTGGTGGTAAAAAATCTAATTAAGTGGTGAAAAGAGGAGGCAGACAAGGATAAATTACCCTCACAAGAAAAGACACAAAAAGCCAAATATAGTAGAGGGAAAGAAGGGAGATGAGCATTGTTTGAACCTTACTCTTAGCAGATTTGGTTCAAAGAGGGAACAACATAATCAGGTATAGAAATCTAACTTACCCTATACTAAGTAGAAAGGGTAAAGGGAAAAGAAAAGGGAGGGAGCTAATAGAGGGAGGGCAGACCGAGGGAGGCAGTGGTGGAATGAAAAACTCTACTGAGGAAGAAAAGAGAGAAAGGTGAGAGAAAAAGCATAAACAGGGAGGGTGGGAATAGGGATGGAAAGAAAGACACAGATGGTAATTGTAACTGTGAATGTGAATGGGATGAACTTACCCATAAAAAGGAAATGTAAAGCAGGGTAGATTAAGAACCATAATCCTACAATATGCTGTTTACAAGAAACACATTTGAAGCAGAGGGATACACACAGAGTAAAGGTAAAAGGCTGGAGCAGAATACAGTATGCTTCAGCTGAAGTAAAAAAAAGCAGGGGAAGCAATCCTGATCTCAGATAAAGAAAAAGCAAAAATAGATCTAATTAAAAGATATAAGGAAGGAAACTACATCCTGGTAAAAGACACCATAGATAATGAAGTAATATCGTTACTAAACATATATGCACCAAGTGGTACAGCAGCCAAATTCTTAAAGGAGAAGTTAAGAGAGATACAGGAAGAAATAGACAGCAAAACTATAAGAGTTGGGGACCTCAACCTCCTCCTCTCAGAACTAGATAAATCTAACCACAAAATAAACAAGAAAGAAGTTAAGAAGATGAACAGAACCTTAGAAAAGTTAAATATGGTTGACCTCTGGAGAAAACTGAATAGGGATAGAAAGGAATATCGAAGGTACATGGCAGCACCTACACAAAAACTGACCATGTACTAGGGCATAAAAACCTCACAATCCAATGCATAAAGGCAGAAATATTAAACGCACCCTTTTCAGATCATGATGCAACAAAAATTACATGTAATAGAGGGCCATGGAAAAACAAACTAAAAATTAATTGTAAACTAAATAATCTAATCCTAAAGAATGATGGGTCAAACAACAAAGCGTAGAAACAATCAATAACTTCATCCAAGAGAATGACAATAACAAGACAACATACCAAAACTTATGGGATGCAGTGAAAGTGGTTCTTAGGGGAAGTTTTATATCTCTCAATGCTTACATGAATAAAATAGAGAAAGAAGAGATCAATGAATTGGGCATGCAACTACAAAAGCTAGAAAAAGAACAAATTGGAAATCCGCAGTTAAATACCAAATTAGAAATTCTGAAAACCAAAGGAGAGATTAATAAAATTGAAATTAAGAAAACCATTGAACTAATAAATGAAACTGGTTTTTATGAAAAAGTCAATAAAACAGATAAACATTTGATTAACTTGATTAAAAAAAAGAAAACCAAATTACCAACATCAAAAATGAAAAGGGTGAATTTACCACCAATAAAGAGGAAATCAATAATTAGGAGCTATTTTGCCTAACTGTATGCCAATAAATTTGACAATCTTAGTGAAATGGATGAATATTTACAAAAATATAAATTGCCCAGATTAATGGAAGAGGAAATAAAATACTTAAACAACCCCATTTCAGAAAAAGAAATTGAAGAAGCCATGAATGAACTCCCTAAGAAAAAATCTCAAGGGCCAGATGGATTTACAAGTAAATTCTATCAAACATTTAAAGAACAGCTGTCTGGAAAAATAAGTGAAGAAGGAATCTTACCAAATTCTTTTTATGATACAAATATGGTGCTGATACCTAAATCTGGAAGAGCCAAAACAGAGAAAGAAAATTATAGACCAATTTCCCTAATGAACATGGATGCAAAACTTTTAAATAAAATATTAGCAAAGAGATTATAACAACTTATCTAGAGGATAACACACTATGACCAGGTAGGATTTATACCAGGAATGCAGGGCTGGTTCAATATTAGGAAAACTATCAGCATAACTGACCATATCAACAACAAAACTAACAGAAATCATATGATTATCTCAATAGATGCAGAAAAAGCATTTGACAAAATACAACACCCATTCCTATTAAAAACACTAGAGAGCCTAGGAATAAATGGAGTATTCCTTCAAATGATTGATAGTATCTATCAAAAACCATCAGCAAGCATTATATGTAATGGGGATAAGCTAGAAGCATTTCCAATAAGATCTGGGGTGAAACATGGATGTCCATTATAATCACTGTTATTCAATATTGTGCTAGAAATGTTAGCTGTAGTCATTAGAGAAGAAAAAGGAATTGAAGGAATTAGAATAGGCAAAGAAACAAAGCTATCCCTCTTTGCAGATGACATGACGGTATATTTAGAGAATCAAGTAAAAAAATTACTTAAAATAATAAACAAATTTAACAAAGTTGCAGGATATAAAATGAACCCACATAAATCATCGGTATTTCTATATATTACTAACAAAGCCCAGCAGCTAGAGATTATCAAAATGAATGCTGATGCCCCTGAGGTTGATGAGACAAGATGAAGTGGAGAGAAAAACCGAGTTAGGTGTTCATGTCACTGAGAAAATTGGGAAAGTGACTTGCAGCCTGGAAAAATACAACAAGGATAAAGAGAAGCAAGTAGAAATTGATTGCAGGGATTTCAAAGCCAGGAAAGACAAGTCTTATAATTTTATGGACTCACATAATCATCACAGAGATCACAGAGCCTAGATCAGTGCCTTTTTTTTTTTTTGCTTTTTTGGTGAAGCAATCGGGGTTAAGTGACTTGCTCAGGGTCACACAGCTAGTAAATGTTAAGTGTCTGAGGCTGGATTTGAACTCAGGTCTTCATGACTCCAAGGCCAGAGCTCTATTCACTGCACCACCTAGCTACCCCAGATCAGCGCCTTCTACAAAAGGGACAGTTAATGAATCGTTGGTCATTAATTGTGCAGGTAAAAGGGCCAGGCTGTTAAAGCTCAGTGATAACTGTGGTACACCTTCCAGGCATGTCCAGATCCCTATCACCTAGAAAGGTTTGTCTTCAACTGTGCTTTCCCAAAGAACAAACAAGTCACTACTGCTTCTCAGTGTACTAAATACACTAAATAGCAATTATGTTAAGGAAAAGGTAAAATTCAACAGGAAATAAACTTACAGCTTTAAAAATCTTGTACCTATATACAGTCAGAGAGTTGGAAAGGACTTTAGACATCATCTAATTCAACAGGGCCTCCTCCACTGTTTTACAAATGAGGGAACTGAGGTTCAGACAAGTTAAGTGACTTGCTCAAAGCCACACAGGAGTTAAGTGGCAGAGCCGGGATATGAATCCAGGTTTTCTACCTCCAAGTATGGTCCTTTACACTGTCTCTCAACTTGTTACCTGGTCATTACGATGGAGCCAATATTTTTTTTTTTTGGTTAATGGGGTCAGTATGATTCTGTTCAGGGCTTCACTCCATAGCTCAAAAAATTATCCTCCTTTCTGCTTTAAAAAAGCAGGGTACTGGTGATTATTGTTATAACTGGCCCATTAAATCACAGGAGAGGTGCAGCAAGATGGAGCCATATTGGATAGAGTAACCAGGAAGGGAATAAGGAAGGCTCCTCTTCCTGAGTTCAAATGCAGTCCCAGACACTTACTTACCTATGTAACCTTGGACAAATCACTTAACTCTTGTTGCCAGAGTTTCCTCAGTTTCTTCATCTGTAAAATGAGCTGGAGAAGGAAATGACAAACCATTCCACTGTCTTTGTCAAGAAAACTACAAAAGGAACCAGGGAGAGTTGGACACACTGACCAAAAATGAACAACAACAAAAGGCTTACTCCTTGGGGTAAGAGGCTAAGTATGGATTGGATTAAGTGATGGCTGTGCCAGAGAAGTAGGGAGAGGGGTTAAAAAAGTTTGTCCTGGCTGTGAAGTACAGGAACAGAGGTAGCCTAATTCTGGTTTCAAAGGCTACAGACCTTTTGAGTACATACAATTTTAGATTATCTATAGGGGAGAGAGGAAAGCAGCGAGGCTCAATATCAAAATTATTGACTCATTTCTACAACAATGTTTGTTGGGTGCCTGCTCTTTACTCAACACTGTCCAAGATACAAAAGATGTTATAATCCTGGTGAAGCTGTGAAACTTAAGTCTTCCTGGCTTCCTGCCTTGGTGCTCTAACCTAGGAGTAAGCCTAGGGTCCTTAATTGCCCATCTAGGACAATTCCACGCTCAAATACTTGTCCAACGGCAAGTGTAGAGACTGTGGAAAAAAAGCCCATGCAGAGGTACAGGGCAGTATTACACAGTATAAACCAAAGCATGAACCTGCAAGTCTTCACCTTACAAGCTCTTCCCCAATAATTTATGCATTCACTTCTGCATGTCACAGACCTAGAAGCTCAGTGCCTCAGTCTGACCTAGTGAAAAGGCAGGAATGTGTAATGAACCTATATATTTTCAAGCAGATTATGACCAGAATATATATACATACATACATACATATATATGTATATATATATAAAAATAAATAAAATGTTCCTAGACAAGACTGAAGGCAGTAGTTAAAGCTATCTTTTTTTTTCGGTCTAGAACTGTGATTTAATCATTTTAGAAAACTAAGGGCAAGGAACAGCCTGCTGCCAATACAAATGTACTAAGAACTGAGACTAGCCAAACGTTATAAAGCCAATATGTGTTAAGATGAGGGAACCCAGGTTCCCCTAGCTCTGCCCTCACTATACCACAGAATAATTAAATGACTCTCAATATTGAGATCTGCAAATATAATACATCTGGAAAGAATGATTTAAAGTCAGAAGACCCAGATTCAAGTCCTGGCTCTGCTATATACTTACCTGTGTTGTGGGTCCGTTCCATCTCTGAACCTACGATCTGGTGCTTAATAGTCACTCCTAAATGCTTTCTATTAACTCCCGGAACAGTTCTGCAGTAAAACAAGACTTTTCAGTCTTTCAGACTTAACAACTCTGCCCCAAAACATACCTGAACTGTTCTCTTTGGATTGCCTCGGCCTGCGGGCAATTACAAAGTCCTTTTCCTTCGCTTTCACCTTTTGCTTTTTTGGTGGAGGGGCTTGAGTTAAGAGCAGCTCCTGGGGGATGTTTTCACTGTCCACCTTTTCTTTCTCCAGAACTGCGACCCCCATTCCTGACAGCAAATCCGATGTCTTGTTAAGATCCCATCCCCACTTGAAGGTGATATTAACATTGCTGTTCGAATCGGGAATCTCCTGGAGGTGTTTCCTGCAGGAAATGGACAAGTTGCATCCTCATAGCTTTCCATTAATTAGCATCCCCCAAAACGTTTGCGTCCAAGCCAAACCAAAACAAGGGCTTGCAAAGCCACCTTTTGCATGTAGGTAACACTGCTTATTTGGAAACCACAGGTGATTGTCATAAATTGGGGTGGGAGGGGGCTAGGGAGGCGAAAGCTGGTAAGTTAGGATACATGTGCATTTATCAAAAACGACTTTTTTCATTGCAGGCTGTGTCTAGGTTACCTAAAAGGAGGGGGAAGGGGGTGGGGAAGAGGCGAAAAAAAAGGAACCAGGTATCCAGTCATTCAAAACATCAACACCCACGCCCAGCTAGCGAGGCCAAATAAAAGCTTGCAGAGCCACGAGGCAACTGACTCCATTCGCAAACCCATAATTACCCAAAGCGACTAAGCAGAGGTGGCTACACATTTTCCTTCTCCTCCATCCGCTTGTTCATCATCGCAATAGGTTTGGTTACCTGTGCATGATGGGCTGGCCGTAGCAGATGAGGGGATTTAAATCCTTGCATTAATTGAGCGGCTCTCAGTCTCCGGCTTCCCGCGTCCACTACTAGGAGCCACACCACTACTCCCCGCAGTCGGATCCGGACCCAAGAAGGCAACGTTCCATTCAACCCGCGCGCGGAACCTTTTCCCTCTCCTGGTAGGCGGCCTGGGGGTAGGCGCGCTGCCTGCTGGGATTTGTAGTTCCCGAACTACCAATCCCTCGGTCCTTCCTCCTGCCAAATCATCCGCCTGCGTCTGTCTCTCCATCCCACTCTTCGTATTTCTCGCGCGCTCTTTCTCACTTCTTCTCCCACCCCCAGCCCCGCCTACGATGACCCAGAAGCCTCTGCGTGGCGGGACGCCAGCGAGGCCGGGGAGAGCGGTGACGTAGGCATGAGGAAGCGGAAGGGAAGTAGGGGGCCGGCGGAGAAATGTCACCGGCTTGAAGGCAGCAGATGTTCCTGTGCTGCCTCGGCGCTTCTGCTCCGTGCTCACCCCGCGACGGCGGAGGCGCCGGCGGGTCCTCGCAGCTCCTCCGCCCGTTGGCCTGCGGAGCTCCAGGCGGGCCGGCGAGATCGGGGCTCCGGGAACGCGCAGTGGGTGACGGCCGAGGTGGGGATGGCGATCCCGGGGACCCGCCGCGCCTACTGAGGGGAGCACAGACGCCCCGGTAAGTCGGAGGCAGCGGCCGGCGGGAGGTGGGGGTGGGGCGGAGAGCGGGCTGCGCTTCCCCGGGATCCCGAGCCTGCCCGGGGAAGCATCTCCACTCCGCAGCCGTGGGTGGGTTGGGCGTGGAAAGAAGCTAGGGGCCCGAGCTCGGCGGCCGGGGGTGGGGTCAGGGGCGGGGCGTCGCTTGCCACCTTCCTCCTCCCTCCCTGGGAGCGACCCCGAAAGTTGCGGCTTTACGGCCCACGGCGCCGAGGCTTGGAGGGCGGTGAGGGGCCCGGAGATGGGCCGCATCGCGCCGGGATGACCGAGTGCATTCTGGGGCCCTGGGCAGTGCGAGCACCTGCGGCGGGGGCGGCACGCCCGGGAGGGGGCGGGGAGGAGGCCTCTGTGCTCGGCTGCTGATGGGGAAGGCCGAGAAGAAGCCTCCCCTCCCCCGGCCGAAATGCTGCGTTCGCCGGGCAGCTTTGGGCCGCCCTTATGGTTTTCCTCGGAAAAATGGAAAGCTGAAAGATCTGTTCGTAGAATTAAGCCTCCTTACACCCGGGTGTATGTTTGTTCTTGATGTAAGTGTTTATTTAGCCTACTCTATCTGGATGGATGCATGGCTGGCTGGCTGGCTGGCTGGCTGGCTGGGGTGGTCATCTCTGTCCTTTTAGAGAATGCTTGATCCCTAAGATTATTATCATGCCTGTAACAGTGAAAATAAATTGTCGGTGTTGTGTTGGGGAAGCAAAAGGAATCGTGGATGCTTTGTAAAGTATAGCGACTATCGGTATTTGTTGAATTGGCTATTTTTGTTTTAAAGCTAGGTAAATTTACGAACACCAGGTTTAGTGCTGCTTCTGCATAGCTCATTAAACTAAAAGTGGTTATATTAAGTAGATTATCTTTATTTTCTCGTGCATTTAACTTTATTATCGTGAAACTCCCCAGCCCCTCACCCCTTTTGTCAATGTGGTTTAGGGGCTTAGTCCAAAATATTTGACTACTCCTTTAATGACTCTTCTGGGGAAAAACCATTTGAATGAGCATTTAAACATAAATAACTGTATTCTTCTCCAGGAAAAGTATGTTTAGGTCGAAGAAAACGCATGCCCAAACTAGATGCAAGTCATTTTTTTCCGTATCCATTTCTTCATTCTCTTTCTTTACACAGATTACTTTATTTACACAGTTGATTATTAACTAATTTTTTTATGGTTATAAAATCTTGAAGTAAGAGAAGGCTTCTGTAAAGGTTCATTGTTTATCTACGTTATCCATCTTGATGCCAGGTTTTGTCTTTACTACTTAAAAACTGTTCAGAATTTTTTTTCTCATAATATTTTTGTGGTGTTAAGTGTAAGGTATAAAATTCTGATTTTATAAATTAGGAATCTCTTTTGTGCTTTCTGTCTCTTATTCAGACCGTGAAACTTCTCTCACTTAAAATGTATGCTGATGTACAGATTAGTAAAGGATTCTCTTTAGAGGACTTCTGGTTTAAACATCTTGAATGACAGCTCTAGAGAGCAAAGTCCTGCCCTAGTGGAACAGGTGTTTTGCAGACAGCAGCGTCATCATTATTGCACTGATAAACCAGAATGCCTAAACTTGCTTAACGTGGGTTAATTTATTATGCGTTATATTCAGTCCTGACCTATTGTCTTAACTTTATTCAATTCATTTAAATTATTGATAGTGCTACCTAAAACCATGATAACTTTTAATCCGTTTTAAACTTGGAGTCATCCAGTCTATCAGTTTTCAGTTAGATGGTCTCCACAGGCTTAGATATAGCATTTTCTGAGTAATAAAGATCCTTGATAAATTTTAGGTTTTTTGTATTTAATCTCATTTCTATTACACTTCATTTTGCATCTAGGCAAGATACGATTCTTATTTCTGTGGTAAGGATTATCGTAAAGATATATTTTAGTGACCTAGGTAAATGAGTTAATAATATGCTTATTATATTTGATGCCATTGAGCAGGGGTTTGCCAGCACCTTGGAAGGTTGAAATAGAATTCAAAGTGATGGTAAATGAGACATGTCTCTATTGGACTTCATTCTACTGGGATATGTGAGGTGCTTGTTGGCAAAAACAAATAAACAAATATAGGAGGATGAATGGCAGAGCACAGATAGAGTAAAAACTTGGAATCACAGCTGACCACAAGTGAAATAAGATATAGGAATATGGGTAGTGTAATAGTATCAAAAAATCAAACATGGTAAGTATTCATTTTAGTAGAAATAATGGCACTGATGCCAAGCTGGGATTAGTGGATAGAGAAAGCTGGACTCAGGAAAACTTGGGTTGGTGCTGATGCATACCAGAATGACCCCTGGACAAGTCATGCTACCCCCAGTGCCTCAGGCATCTGCATTGGTTGTGACAATTTACACTTAAAGAGTTCTCTATACCAGTAACATCACAGATCTCGACCACTTACACTTTTCCCATCAGCTTTGATGATATCACCTACATTAATACAAGAACTGGGATGTAATCCTTTTAAATTCTCTTGGTTTTTACACAGAGAGGTAAAGGTGTTGATGCCATTTGTTTACCTTTTAGATAAATGCCTAAGGATTATGGTGTATAGTCAGAAATTTTGGGTGCCGAAGCAGAGTATTCCAGAAAGGGTCCCTTACTCTTTGTTAAATATAAAACATTCTCAAAGTAGGTAGGACTTCCTTGGTGATATTTATAACTGTAAAGGATAAAATAGCTAAGTACCTTAAAGAGCTATTTAATTAAAATTGGCTCTCCTTGTCTTTCTACTTTACCCTCACAAGATGTCTACTATAGCCACATATGCAGTTAATCTTCAACCATTTCAGAAAGTTTAGGACTTATTAGAAGTTTAATAGTTTTCTTTAGACTGCTCCGATTTCTGTTATCTTTAGAACATTCTAGCACCTAAGTTACTATTTTATCTTTTTTCTTAGTTACTCTGGTTTGGCCTTATTTGACTTCTTTAGCTTCTGGATCCTCAACATTTTAGGAGTTTCTCAGGCAGTTGATAGATGAAACAAGTAGTGGTTATTTAATGTGTATCTTGAAGGTATATGAAGAGTTTTCAGGTGAAGGCTACTGACCAATTTGTTGGTTTTTTTAATATCATAAAGGACTGAACAAGAGAAATGAACTTAAATTGATAAGAGAATTCTTTTAGTTTATTTTTGTTATAAAATGTTATTTTTTCCCTTTATTAATCTGTCTCTCCCACTCTCCCTCTCTAACTCATGGATCAGATTAAAGGAGGAAAAAACCTAATAAAATAAAGCCCTTACTACAATAGCTGTAGTCCTATAAAATAAATTCCCACTTTGTGTCTAAAAATGCATGTCTTCTGTATTTTATCACCACGTTGTCAAGAAGTATCATGTTTCATCATTTTTTGGACATGTGGTTTATTATTGTGTTGATCAAGTTTTCTAAAGTTGCTTTACTCTACAATTTTGATATTGGGGAAAGTTGTTTTCCTATTTTCTTTCTTTACTCTGCATCATTTCATAGAGATCTTTCTCGAACTGTCCCATCTTAAAAATTTATTTTGCTAAAGTAATGCTTTATTACTTTAGTACGCCATAGTTTGGTTAGCCATTCACCAATTGGAGAACACTTTTAGTTTCCGGTTTTGGGTTCCTATCACAAGAGCTGCTATAAATATTGGTGTACATATAGGTCTTTTTCCTCTTTCTTTGATTTCATTAGAGTATGGACCTAGTAATGTTATAGTTAGGTCAATAGGAATGCATATTTTCATAGTTTGGGGGACGTAGTTTAAAATTACTTTCCAGAATGGCTGTATTGATTCAAAAGTTCCACCAGCAAGGCACTAGTGTACCTGTTTTCCTACAGCCCTGCCAACATTTGTTATTTTCCTCTTTTGTCACCTTCCGGTCTGATGGGCTGGCTTGAAACTTGAAGTGCCTTTAATTTGCATTTCTCTAATTATTGTTAATATAGAGCTTTTTTTCATATAGTTGGTGGTGATAGCTTCTATTTTTTCATTTGAAAACTGCCTGTTTGTGTCATTTGGCCATTTATCTATTAGGAATGGCTCTTATTCTTATAAATTTGAATCAATTCCTTGTATATCTTGTGAGACCTTTAGAGAAAAATCATTTAGACATTAGAACAGTAGGCTTCAAGTTCTCAATTATTATTATTATTACTATTATTTATTCAGAACTTTGATTTTAGTGAGGTAGGGAATTCCATCTATCAATACAGATCAACAGCTGTTCTGAAATTGTAGCTTTAGTTTCCAAGGAAAATGATTCTTGCCCCGGGTCGTACAGCCAGTGTATGTCAGAAGATGGACTTGAACTTAAGTCTTCCTGGCTCTTCAGCCACATGCCTCTTTACCTAGGAAGTTATTCAATCTCTGCATATATGGAGAAACTCTAGTTGGCTCAGTGAATAGAGCATGGGGCCTGGAGTCAGGCAGACTCATCTTCCTGAGTTCAGATCCAGCCTCAGATCCTCACTAGCTGTGTGACCCTGGGCAAGTCACTTAATACTGTTTGCCTCAGTGCGTCATCTGTAAAATGAGCTGAAGAAGGAAATGGCAAACCAATCCAGTGTCTTTACCAAGAAAATCCCAAATGGGGTCACAAAGAGTTCAACAGAACTAATGGCTAAACAAGAAATCTTTAAACACAGGATTTAAAGCTATTTTGGAAGGTAGGTACTGACCTACCTTTGAAGCAAGGCAGTTAGCTAGATCACTGGTATCAAATGCAAATAGAAAAGGGAGACCAGGGGGCAGCTAGGTGGCTCGTGGATAGAGCACCAGCCCTGAATTCTGGAGGTAATGTTTACTAGCCGTGTGACCCTAGGCAAGTCACTTAACCCTATTGACTAGCCAAAAAAAAAAGCGGGGGAGGGGGACCAGTAATCTGTACTTAAGGATGCTTGCAGGCTGTGCATTGACTTAGTTTTAAAATGTAATGTTATTTGTTATATTTTTATTTGTTTTGTTAACTTATTTCTCAATTACATTTTA